CACACGTGGCCTAACATAGATGTCACACGTGGCCTAACATAGATGTCACACGTGGCCTAACAGAGATGTCACACGTGGCCTAACATAGATGTCACACGTGGCCTAACAGCGATGTCACACGTGGCTTAACAGAGATGTCACACGTGGCATAGATGTCACACTTGTCTAACATAGATGTCACACCTGGCCTAACATAGATGTCCTACGTGGCCTAACATAGATTTCCCACGTGGCCTAACATAGATGTCCTGCGTGGCCTAACAAAGATGTCACGCGTGGCCTAACATAGATTTTCCCCCACATAGCCTAACACAGATGTCACACCTGGCCTGTAACACATGTCACACTTAGATCACGTCGACTGTTTCACGGTAGCACTGTTTCACATAAATAGAGATTTGTGTTTGAGAGATTCGCTATATGAAGCGGTTAACGGAAATAAAGGAAATTACGCACAGTAAAACAAAATAATGCGTTCAAAAAGAATTTGAAGCAAAATTTTAACGTGTGAACTGAAAAAGAAAAAAAAAGATTCGACCAAATTTCCGTTCGATCAAATTTTTGTCGATCAATTTTCCGTCGACGAAATTTATTTCGGATACGATATGAAGCACCACACCTAATTCGAGCAGCAGTGACCAAACCCTACCATCCTATCACTCAGCTCTTAAGTTAAAGTGACCACAGATGGGACCAATACCATTTCGTCCCGAGAGACAAGGGGAAGTAATTCCGTGGTTCAAACAGGGCAATCTCTATCTGAAAGGGGGCAATGACCTATGAATAGCCTTGCCCATGATTGGCATCAGCCGCAACACACGGCTGTATATCTCTTATTCAGGACGCAAACCATTTTATTTTTATGTCACGTAATCTGAGATATCTCATCACCCACTGCCCACAAAAACTAACTCTGAGATATCTCATCACCCACTGCCCACAAAACTAACTCTGAGATATCTCATCACCCACTGCCCACAAAAACTAACTCTGAGATATCTCATCACCCACTGCCCACAAAAACTAACAAAACAGATATAGAAATCAGAGCTTCCGATTGGAAGACTTGAGACTTAACCTACCGCCGATAGTTGATAACATTTTAGGAGTGGCACAAGAAAACATTTTCCCTATTTGAAATACTATCAGAAAAAAGCACTATGAGGGCTTGTGGACTGATGTAGCTGTACGGACCGCCCCTTTGAGAAACACTGATGTAAAGGAAAATATTTTCTGCCTATTATTTTATAAGGAAAATATTTTCTGCCCATTACTTTATAAGGAAAATATTTTCTGCCCATTACTTTATAACAGAGAACTCTGAAATTTGAACACTACTTTTATTGAAACACAATTTTTGATAACTGATTTTGATTTAAAGGTTAAAATCTTACTCAAATTATTGATTAAGAATACTTTACCTACATCAAGCATTGATTTGGAATTTATGTATTTATTTAAATGTCACATTTATAGACAACTCATTGTTAGATGTGGAGAGAACTGTTTTTATAATAAGAAGTATCTATCCTATAAAAAAATATACTAGGGACAATGGCATGTGGCCGTGGCGTATTTTTAATGTTTAAAGGTTACAAAAAGCAAAAAACTTAGTCTTAACATAACACAAAAATGACTAGCCTACATTAATTATGACTAATTATTACATGCTAAATTTGTTTTATTTAATTTCGAGTCAGGGGCAACCCAAACGTGTCCAGTTTGCCCACATTTGCCAGGAAAACACAAGTACTCCAGTAAGTAAAAAAAAAAAAAATCTTAGTAGTATCAAAAGAAAGTTGGTATAAAATCAAATGAGATTAAAAAATAACCTGCTCTCACGTCTGCAAGCAATCCGAAACAGCAGAAAAAAGCATTTGAAAAATAATTATTATTTCTTCAATAAAATTCTTTTAATTCAGCTAAAAATTATACTTACAGGTAGTTTGTTCAATTTTTCAATAAAAGTAGGCAATATTTTGTCTTATAAAAACTATTAAAAAGCAAAGTTTGGTAAATAAAATTAAATATAAAAATCTAAAAATTATTTTCTTGCAATGTCTCAGCAGTTGTTGTTCCAGTGGCAGCAGTAAGAAATATAGGCACTAAAACTCAAACTAAGGCAATAAAGTGAAACAATTATGTTGATATATTATTTTGTTTTTGTTGGTCATAGTCATAGTGGTACATTATAAATTATACATAAACAACAAGCTGTACTGATAAGTGTAAATAATGTGTAAATCTAAGAGGAAATATGTATTCTCTACATCTTTTGTTGTAAGGTCATTAAATATTTATAATTCAGTGAAATTAATCTTTGATAAAATATTTTATAGACAACATGAAATTAAAATAATATAGTTATAGTGTAGGCCAAATATTGTCATTGTCAGGTGCATGCCATCATTTGACATTAAAAAGATTTTATAAATTACAGAGCATTCATCAATAACTTATGTTATAATCAGTCCAAATTATCAGAAGGAATAAGTAAATCACTTTTACAAAAAATTATTTTAAGAATTTAAAATTTTAACTATTAACATCAAAGAATGTGTCTGATAAGAGTTTAAATTTGTGTGTATGGTGTGTTTATATCACAATAAATAAAGAAATGATAAAATAATTTGATGTGAACTATGACAGTTGAGCTTCTGTTCTAGCTTAACCCTTTGGGGACGGAGCCTTTTCGGGCTGTCTGTGCCAAAAAGATGGAGCACTTTTTACGAACTCGGCACTCATATTGCAAAAAAATGTATAAAAAATAAACTATTTATTTTACATGTATAAAACTATATATATTCTTGTAGAAAATTGAATAAGCTAATACAATATTTATAAATAAAACTGAAATTTCAACATTTATGCAAATAAGCTATCCTGATTTGCATAATTTATGCATACAATTTGTGGTTAAACTGAGAATAAACATGACTTACGGGTGTAAATTGTGGGAATTTTTTTATGGATGAAGCATGAATAGATCCTAACACACATGGAGGCCCTTCAGACACCCCTGGCATAGAGTTCTACTCCTTTTCCCACCCCTGGGGTACATTTCGGTTGCTACAGACAGAGCAGTCCTTTTCACAATTGTTCACCCCATTATGGTTTACTTGAGCTGGGTGTTTCTGAGAAAGTTGTCTGCATATATATTAGTTATTATTAGTCTCTCTCACAAACATTTCAATGTTATTTTGTGTAAAAATTAGCAAAAGGACTCAACTGGGGTGCTTATCCTGGTTGTTTTCATCAGTGTCAGATTCACTGCTAGACAGCGAGAAATCAGAATCACTCAGCACAATTTGATCAGAGTCGCTGTCAGACATGTTCCAATTTCACGATATAACTATTCACACACACAAAAATTCCTGCACACAAATAAATTTAGTTCACCATCAACGAACGCCGTCATTACAATCCCGGGATGTGAAGGAATATGTAAGAATAATTTTGATTCGCTGGTACAACACCAAGCCAGCCAATCAAAAGGCTCGATTTATCGGGCCAATGGTTCAGACTTTTGTCTTTCTCGCTAGTCAACCTTGGCCGATAGATCGGTCTTTATGTCTCCAGAGAGTTAAAGATGAGTACAAATGGTAACACAGATAACTACAAATGGTAACACATATAATTAAAAATGTTAACACAGATAACAACAAATGATAACACAGATAACCACAAATGGTAACACAGATAATCACAAATGGTAAGACAGATACCACAAATGGTAAGACAGATAACCACAACTGGTAACACTACGCAGCAGTTTTAAGATAAAACAATTTTAACATTTCAAACAAAAAAACTGGTAAAACTAGCAGCCAGTTCCATGATTATATGTAAGGAACTTTGCCTTAATCAGGGATATCATCATGTTCATATCAACTTAGAATGTTTCTTTAATGAAAACAATGCATCAAAATATTTGGATTCATTTTTTTGGCAACATTAGATCAGAATTTCAAAGAAAACTGAATGTCAGGAAATTTTTTTTAAAGTTTACTTTTAGCAGAAATATTTTCAAAAATGTAATACCACATTATACAAAACAATTATGTAATTAAGTGGTTGAGTATCACAACTAAATAAATACATTCATAATTATTCAAGCACACATTGAAATATGATTTGGCTTAGGGATAGTACCTTCATAAATTGGACAAATAGAGTAAACCAAAACAAAGCTATCAGTGTTTATTGATGGTTTATCCTTGAAAGTAAAAATTGCAAGAAAAATTAATTCCTTTTTGTGTAAGAAAATGTTTTCAGCATAATTATATTATTTTATTAAGTTTTCTTATTTCCAGCAGTTCATGATGATCCAATTTTTAAGAATTATTTGACCCTTCCATGATCCAGTTTCCATCAGGTAATTGGGGCTCTTCTGTACTTTAAAAATATCCACAGTCCCACTGACTAATCTCAACATTAAAATTTTACACACATTAATTTTGGCTTGGGAACAAAGACATACAGAATAAATGTTACATCAAAGAGCAATGGTGTATAGTACCATATAAAAAGCAGGCTTTATCACATAATGTTGTTCTTAAATATTTATATTTACACAGAGAGTTATATTGTAAAATGGTATAAAAGATTATGTCAATAGCCATGTACCATAAAGTTACATAATACTAGATACAGGCCATACTGGTACAATAAAATGATATAATGCTAGATACAGACCATATCTGTACAATGAATTTATATGATACTAGATACAGACCATATCTGTACAATGAATTTATATGATACTAGATACAGACCATATCTGTACAATGAATTTATATGATACTAGATACAGACCATATCTGTACAATGAATTTATATGATACTTGATACAGACCATATCTGTAGGATAAAATTATATACTAGATACAGACAATATTCTAAGTGAGCATAAGACCAGTGGTCAAGTAGATATAAGACATATCAAAAACATACTGAAAAAGTAACTTATTGAAACGACCAAAAGGAATGTCATAATACTTGTCTGTGCTACAGATTAAAATAATGAAAAGTATACAGAAAATAGGCTTAACAAATTTAATTAATGGATAATGCTTGGCAATAAATAATCCAGTAACCAGTGATGAACAACTGAGCCAGAAAAGATAAAACTAGTAATTGGAGGACTCGGCTGACACTAGAGAAGAGTTATGAAAGATATTAATGCTTGAATATGGAACATGCAAATACTGATTGATAAATTCCATCAACAGATTTTTTTTTGTGTGTTCTCAAAGGTGGGCTGATGAGAAAATGTTGATGGCGGTATAGGTAAACTATAAATCGATATTAATTGGAAAACACCAAGGGAACTGATAGATAATAAATGTCATTCTGAGCCAGATCTTGGTCAGGGCAAGAGATGAATTGAGCTATGGTTAAAACAGATTAAAAAGTGAGTTTGTTAAGAACTTGGAAATTTTGTGGTGGTACAGTGATAACTCATTATAATTTTTAAATAGCTGTACTTCAACTTAACCTATTCATTCCATTTTGTTTAAGATTCAGTGAACCACTTAACTGTAGATGTGAACAGCAACATAGGATTTTAAATGATGTTCCATTTAGTTAATTCTTTAAGTCAAAGATTACAGTAGCAAAGTGCATCATCCTCATGTAAATTTAAAATCAACCAAAATCCAAAGCACTTGTCATGACTGGAATTCAAGCAACATCCACCATGGGAGGACATGTTGAATTTGTTGTGGTAAATGATGCAAGGTGGTCCCTGTATTTTGGCGTCACGAGGTCAGCGGCCTTGAGGCACTGGGAAAGGGCATATTCATTCGCATCTACTGGCTCTGTGAGAGTAAATCAGATTATCTGTTGAAATATTTGCTGAGAAACTTCATAAATAATTTTTTTCCAATTTTCGTCTATAGTAAACAGTGATAGAATTTTAATTTTGTTTAAAATTATGAACTTTCTTCAAAGAAGGTCTTATCTTCCCCAAAGTTAGACTTTCTGCAAAGCAAGTTTTAGAACTTTGATGGACGAAAAATGACATTTTACAAAAAAAATTCTTCAATAAGTCTTTACTGTGTTAGTTTTTAATAAACACTGAAGCATAAAAAATTGTTTAACAAAAAAAAATAATTTCATACAATCAAGATTGCATGTGATTGATGCTCCAAATGTATTAATTTACAATACTATAAAATCCAATGTACAGGTTGAGAAACACTGGTCTTATTTCACATGGCCCAAATTTTATAACAAACATGTTGATAGCATATGGACAGATATACACATACCCGTCCATGTGACACTGTTCTGAGCAATGTAGGTGACCGCTGGTATGCAGTACTGAGCCACGCCAAGGTCATCTGGACTCGGACAGTTAGACATCCAGACTGGTAGCACCACATGTTCATACAACTGGACAGATGAGACCAAATTAATGAATTATTCATATTTAGACATATAAAATATATTTTCAAGAAATAAAAAAATTAAACACTTTAGTTTCCATCTCCTCCTGTTAGATTTAACAAGGGTTGCAATAAAAGACAACTCTTGGATGCCGGTTTTTAATCATTTCAAACAACGACGTTATATAAAGAGTGTGTGTGGGTTGGGTTGCCCCAAATTATATCTTTTACTTTAGGAGTTCTCAAACTTAAAATTTTGGGAACCACTGCCAGGAGACATACACCAAACAAAGCCATAAGCAATGGTCCCCAATTTAAGATGTGCAATAGTCCCCAATTTAAGACGTGCAATAGTCCCCAATTTAAGACGTGCAATAGTCCCCAATTTAAAATGTGCAATGGTCTCAAATTAAAATTGTGCAGCAGTCCCAAATTTAAAATGTGCAAAATTCCCAAATTTAAAATGTGCAATAGTCTTAAATATGGCTTAATGAGATCCTACTAATTGAAATCTTGAACACATCCGGGCCCATCAGAGTACACCATCAACACATCCTTGCCCATCAGAGTACACCATCAACACATCCGTGCCCATCAGAGTACACCATCAACACATCCGTGCCCATCAGAGTACACCATCAACACATCCGTGCTCATCAGAGTACACCATCAGCACATTCGCGCCCACCAGAGTACACCAGCTGAATGCCATTTAGAAGAGCAGCTTAGGCTACTGAATCCACTCACCTGAGGATAGCCCATGAATGTGTCCAAACGTTCCAGCTGGACAGCTGTCAGTTGGTAGACGCAGCCTTCAACGGATGACCCAGGGTTGTACTCCAGGTTAGGGAATCCCCCGACATCTTTCTGGTCACTGCCTGTAAACACAGGTGGTCGATGTCGTAGGCAAGTGGTAACAGATTTGGTCAGATGTTTAAATTCATGTGAGGAGACCAAATTTTTTTTTTGTTGTAAGATTCATTATTTGGTTATATTTATCAGGTTTTAAAAATACAAAGAATTTGAAACACCTGCATCATAACCAATTTAACCTTGAACTAAGTCTAAAAAAAATGCAAGTCGTTTTGTTTAATTTGCAATTGTCAAATATTAATTTTTTAAAATGCAAGTCTTTAAGCTTAGTTTTTGGTTATCTGATACATAATTAACTTTTTTTGTCTCTGGATATTTTTATTTTAACTAACCTATGCCCATCCCAACAGTTCCCACTGGAGCTGACAATATGCTACCATCTCACAATGCCCATAGATGATAAAGAGAGTCTTGTAAGAATCCAATGCACTTAAGTAAGTAATGGTTTTTAGAATGAATGGCCGGGCAAAAGGGATCGGCTTTACCTTTCTTATTGAACACAAGGTCGAACCCAAAGAGCAGTCCCCAAAACCTCTGTGGACATTGGTCACAGGCCAGGTATGTGCAGATTCTGAAAAACAAAGATATGTGTACAGAGAGAACAGATGCATGTACAAAGAGAACAGATGCATGTGCAAGACAAAAAATGCATGTACTTAAAGAACAGATGCATGTACTAAAAGAAAAGATGCAAATACCAGAGAACAGATGCATGTACAAAGAGAACAGATGCATGAACAAACAGAACAGATGCATGTACAAAGAGAACAGATGCATGAACAAACAGAACAGATGCATGTACAAAGAGAACAGATGCATGAACAAACAGAACAGATGCATGAACAAACAGAACAGATGCATGTACAAAGAGAACAGATGCATGTACAAAGAGAACAGATGCATGTACAAAGAGAACAGATGCATGAACAAACAGAACAGATACATGAACAAAGAGAGCATAGGCATTTAAAAAGAGAGCAGATGCATGTACAAAGAGAACAGATCAGACCTGCCAACCTGCCCAAAAAAAATATTTAGGGGGGTTGCACGCAGGGGGGAAGTGGCCCGCTGCCCCCAGGGGTGGCACCCTGAGGAGGGTTGGTTTAAAATCTATAGACTAATGCACAAGCCTTTTTTTAGTAAATAAAGCAATGTAAAGTTGCCTATAAAGTTACCTCCCTTGTCTTTGAAGAGTCCACAGAACAGAACATGAGAAGAACCTATCTGGAAATGTTTCTATACAGATCTACATGTACACACACACACTGGCTGCTAGGCCTCTTAGTAAGAGTTCAGTTCTCCAGCATATCCCTGGGTGCCTTTGTGCACTTGTCCAACAGCTCTTCAGACAACTGAAGGTTAGCATTGCAATTGGTTTTAGTTACAAGCAAGTTAGAAAAAGTATCACCTTTCATGCTTGCCCTCATTTCATTGTAATTTTTCTTTACAATCGTCTAGCATTCTGCAAGTCTGGAAACATTTCTTTGACTCTGGCATGAAAACGATCGGAGTTGGCCAGAGCAATATTTCCATCAATGTTTATTATCATTGTACCTATCACTTTCAATAGATTTAACCATTTAATTGAGAAAAGCTTTAACATAAAAAAAGGTCTGAATAATTTTTTAGCCTTGTAATAAGGATGAATCACGATCGGATCAATTGATGATTGAAGAATGATTTGATGATCGCGGTTCGCTTTGATAAAAACAAGGCAGTGTCTACAGCCAGGCGACCGAACAAATAGTGCAGGAGATATTTATCCGGCGGGCATGCCACGCTTTAAAAAAAACATTGTCACTTTTTGACCTATTGTTCATTATATCTATACCAGCAATGGTTCTAGTATTTCTTTTTTATAATTGAACATATTTCTTTTTCGTGTACTATCTTGAATTTGTTGAAATTAAGTACCGTAAACTCTGATAGACAATTAGCGGTCACATGACAAGGCTGACGGACAAATATCTCGCTCAACTTTGTTACGGTGGTCATGTGACTTGGTCGAATAAATACTAGCCTGACTAATATCTCGAGAATTTATTCCTTATTCGCCCGGTCGCCGGACATGTATGCACTTTGTAAAAACAAATGCAACACTTCCTGTCGTACTCAATTTTTTTGTGTGGTCCCTTTCTGATTTTTATGACAGGCGAAAAATTATAAAGTTAAAAAAAACGGAATTTTAAGGGGTTTGTCGGAAGGTCGGAATGAGGGGTCCATATAATTCCTACAAAATCGGAAGGGTTGGCAGGTTTGGAACAGATGCATGTACAAAGAAAATAAATGCATGTACAAAGAGAACAGATACATGTTCAAAGAAAGATTTGTGTTCAATGAGAACAGATGTGTGTGCAAAGAGAAAAGATGAGTTATTAAAGGTGTACCTGTCCGGGCTCATGTTTTGGTCGTATGCAAAATAGAAGAGCTGCCCAACGGGAGGTCTGGCATTGAGTTGGAAACACAAGGGAGGTAATTTACACAAGACTGACATGTCTTCTTCTTTCTTAGCTGCAAATCTGGAAGAAAAATTTATGCAATTAAGTTCGAGTCATGATACAGGTCAAAAACATTTTTTTTCAAAATAAAATTATGATTAAGAGTTTTATTTACATTTTAATTTCTTCATTTGTAACGAGCATTGAAATTTGTTTTTCAACCAAAAAGAGGACTGGAAACGAGTGAAAGTTTTTAATATTTTGAAGTACCCAGTAAGGTGGCCACAGCATTATAAGGTGCCAACCTCTCACAGTTTGGGAAACATTGAAAAGATGTCTATATGAAATGAACAACATCGTCTCACCTCGGCTTGGACATTTTCTTGGGAAATGCTACCACTTCCAGGGGCATGCTGGGAGAAAATTAATAATGTCATTATTAAAATCCAAATTTTATTTTCAACATCAGTTAAAGTTACACTGATAAAAATGGTTACACTCGTGTCAACATCAGTTAAAGTTACACTGATAAAATGGTTACACTCGTGTCAACATCAGTTAAAGTTACACTGATAAAATGGTTACACTCGTGTCAACATCAGTTAAAGTTACACTGATAAAATGGTTACACTCGTGTCAACATCAGTTAAAGTTAGCTTGATAAAGTGCTCACTCTCATATCAAACATATTTAAAGTTAGATAGATGAAGTGGTTAGACTCGTATCAACAATATTTTTCCAACACACATTAGCTAAAAAACAAAACAAAAAAAGAGAAATCAAGTTGTGAGAAAACATGTTGAGTTGCTGTACGAACCTTTCTTGATCAATCTCACAGTCATCATTCATAGTTATCTTCAACTTGAGATCATTCTGTTCCGAATGTGTGTTGGGCTGCCCCTCCTTCACAGCCCTGGTACCATTGTTAGTGGATGTGCAGGGCTCGGCCCTGGCAGCTGGTCTCAGGTCAGCTAGGCTCAATGCCGGCTCACCGGACGCTGGTTTATCCAATGGGTCGATCTGGTCAGACTCCTCCTCTTCTAAATTTGAAGGGCTGTCACTCTCAAGACCGCTGTCATTGGTTGTCCCGCTCCATGGCCTTGACTTCTTATTAGTCTCATCATTCCAGGTCACATGACTGCCTTTAGTTGCCGTGTCCGTCTTTATTGGCTTAGAATGCCTCCTGTGGTATCTCGGACAATGTACAGTTTGCGACTTGGTTTTCCAATCTGTGATGCCCTCGTCTGCCACCTCATCATCACTGCTCTCCATGCAGTGTTGCCTGTAAGCCAGCACCAGGTCCTGGTACCTCTCTGTGTTCTGAACACTCTCGGCATCAGACCTTCTTCTGTCCCACACATTTCTCTCCTCATCTCTTTGCTCTCTCTGCAAGCTGAGCCAATACTGTTTCTTCTGAAAGTCTACCAAGTGGGGATAATCCTTTTCGAGCTGCTTCTTGACATCTTCTGGTTTTGTCAATTCTTCCGACCCACTGAAAACTTCACGTGCAGATTTATTTATACGTTTTGATGCAGGTAGATATAATATGGTTCCTTTGATTTCTTTGTTATGGTCACAGTCCTCATCCATCTCCTGAACCGCCGCCTGTGTTGCAGCCATTTCTCCCTTACCTCCCTTATCCAGATCCTTCCCCTGGGATGCATCATTTCCAGCCATCATCAGTTTGGCAGATACCCTGTACCCAGACGATGGCCGATTAACTTTGTTCTTTACCGGCACATAGCGGTTGGTCTTCCTGTACAAGTTGCTGCTGATGGTTGTGTCCAACAACAAGGCCTTCCTCTGTTGTTTGGCCATGGAAGGAATGTTTAACAGGTCTGAGTTTCCAGCTGCTTCTGACGATCCATTCTCATCATGTGACCTTGGCTCTTCAAACTCACGCGGAAGAACTACTACATCAATGGGGTGCATTTTTGTCTCGTCATCTTCTCTACTCGCACTTGTTTCTGGGATAGGTTTTTCAGTTTCCTTTATTGTGTCCAATTCCAACAAGCTGAGTAAACATTTCATTTTTTCTCCTTGTAGCTCAGCCTTAGCCATTTCAAATTCAGTTTCCAGTTGGTCAAACTTGGACAGGAACGGGTCATCAGTGTCCAGCCCATCATCTGAGTGGTCGCTTGGTAGCTCCTCCCACATTTTGTCTGCATCAAACACACCATCATCCTCTGGGACAACATGTCTGTTGACAGACTTCCTTGGCTTGCCTGAAAACTTCCTGATTCTTGCCTTGCGTTTCTTGTTTACTTCCTTTGGGTCCATAAATTGAACTTTAGTTGGAGATCGAGGTCTGAACTTTCGTCTTTTTGTTTCGTCTTCTTTTATCACATTTGTGTTACCTGGGAGACGAGATGAACTTTGTCCTCTTAAGATCTCACAGGAAGCACTTCTGGGCCTTAACCTCTGGGTCAACCCATGCTTGCTTTCAATCTGACTCCTCTCTGTGAAACACTCGGCACTGACCGGTCGCAGATCTCTGCTGGCGCTCTTCAACCTCGGCTTTCTATGTCCAACCTCTGTGTCAGAATGCACCGTAGAACTGTCAGGCCGATCTTGGGCTGGCTTCATACTTTTCCTAAGTGTTCGGTAAGCTCTGTCCCTCTGAGAATTGGATTTAGGCGGCCGATGGACCACTCGAGTGTGTTGAGAATAATCAGCCCCGGGACTTCTCTCCATTAGTGACGATGTCACTTCCTTGGCTGGTTTGTCATGATCATTTAGTCCACTGTTTCCTTCACATTCAGAAGCTGACAATTTATCGTTCCTCGCTTGGCCACTGTCCACTCTCACGTGTTTGATTTTCTCATGTTTTTTCCTGTAAGAGGCAAACCTAGCATCCAACTTGGCCTTCACATCAATAAAACCCGCCTGACTTTCTCCCCGGCTGGAACAGCTTCCTTTAGACTCATAGATCACAGAGGCAGACATTGGTCGTGGGGCAGACTTTGGATGTGAAGCAGACACTGGTCGTGACGCAGACACTGGTCCTGGGGCAGACTTTGGGTGCAAAGCAGATACTGGATGTGGAACTACCTTATTGATAGTGGACTGGTTCTCACATTCTGAAAGCACTGACTCACAATTCCTGTCTTTTGAGCTGGCGCCATCGTTAGGGACAACTGATCCCGATATTGATGGACATTGCTTGCCATCAGTACCGCTAGTGGCCCGAGAGCTGGAGTCTAGTCTACCAGAGCTCTTGTTGGATAGCATTTTATTTAGAGCTGGGCCGCTGTTTGCTCGAGTTTCAGGAAAGCCATCATCACCTTCATGGTCAGAGTCTCCGAATTTGTCGTTGTTACTGGACGGTGGTCGGCAGGAAGATTTTCCATTAGACGATTTTTGTCTCAAGTCTTCAGTTTTAGTTTGACCTGCAGGATTAACAGACTTTTGTCTGGTGTTGTCATCAGCGAATCTGACCGACTTTGGTCTGATATCATCGACAGCTGTTTTTGGTCGGATATCGTCCACAGCTGCCTTTGGTCTGAGATTGTCCACAGCTGTCATTGGTCTGACATCATCCAGAGCTGTCTTTGATCTCAGGTTACTTGGACCAGGAGAATCTTCAGTGATGAAAGTGCTGTGCTGTCTACTGTTACCAGCCAGGTTGGAATCTAATTGGTGTCTCTCTAGGCCACCTTGTACATGTGTTGTGGTCCCCATGGTGTCCATAGATTCAGCTCTCACTTCACGCTGGCTTGGTGTATTGTTATGCTTGGTACTTGATATATTGTTATACTTGTGGCTTGGTGTATTGTTATACTTGGTACTTTCTCTTTCCTCGGCATCAACTGAAACATAAGAAACACGGGTTCTCTTACCAAGTATAAAGTGTTAAATAAAACCCATGTAGTGTCTAGTTATTTGGCAGCAACAGTCAAATATGACCAATGGTTTACAAATGTCAGTAACCAGTTCAGTCATTGGTACATTATTCTAGGCCAGAGTTCCCTGATCCAGGGACATTCAGTTCTAGATTAATTAGACACAAACAATTTGTGGCAATACAAGTCAGTACAACAACAAAACATTTAAGTAAGTATAAATTAAATTTACATAATATTTGTACTGATGAAGGCACGCGCCGAAACGTCTACTTATGTATTATGTAAAATTATTATTAAAGCTTAACATATATTGTTAAATTGACACACATTGTTCGTGTCTAATAAATCTATTTTAAAGCTTTATCGCAGTCCAACACTTTTTATAATTAGTTAATTACATTCAGTTCTACATTATTATAGATTTATTAAAATCTCCTTTACATCTGTGGCGACCTCTGTGTTTGTTCTTACCTTCTTCATTGAGGCCAGATTCACAATGATCTTTGTGCCCTTGACCAAACTTAGGGACCCCCTCTGGGACACCACTGGAAGGAAAAAAATAGTTGGCATAATTCAATAAATAATATTTGTTCACCCAATAAGGAGATTTTTATTTTTAAAAATACTACAACAGCCAGGCTATTGTTAGATGTGACTGTATATAGAAATACTACAAGAGCCAGGCTATTATTAGATGTTACCGTATATAGAAATACTACAAGAGCCAGGCTATTGTTAGATGTTACCGTATATAGAAATACTACAAGAGCCAGGCTATTATTAGATGTTACCGTATATAGAAATACTACAAGAGCCAGGCTATTATTAGATGTTACCGTATATAGAAATACTACAAGAGCCAGGCTATTATTAGATGTTACCGTATATAGAAATACTACAACAGCCAGGCTATTATTAGATGTGACCGTATATAGAAATACTACAACAGCCAGACTATTAGAGGAACATAAGTTCAACTATCCCGAAAGCTCATATAGTGGATGAAACTAAAATTATGATGTTAATTTTTTTTTTTTAATTAATTAGATTAATTAGCAAGGGAATAACTAAAATGTCTTGTGCAGATGTGCTCATTTGTCTTGCAAAGACTAAATTTAGATTTTAACACAACAATAATTTTGTGAGACTCTTAGGTAAACCAAGAATAATATATTACATGGCTTTGTCTTTCCTGTGTTTCATCACATGTGCAAAAGGCCACCAGGCAACCTCTTTTTCTAGGACAGATGTGACAGCCATTACCCTTGCTTCTATTCCAGTATGATTAACAAGCCATTACCCTTGCTTCTATACCAGTATGATGTAACAAGCCATTACCCTTGCTTCTGTACCAGTATGATGTAACAAGCCATTTCCCTTGCTGATATACCCATATGATGTGACAAGCCATGTGATTACCCTTGGTTGTACACAAATGTGGCAAGGCACTACCTTTGGTTTTCTTTAGTATCATCCCCCACGGCCAGCAGTTCGTCATCTGTGTCTTGACTCAGGTCCAGTGTCGGCTCTGGGGAGGAAGCCTCCGACGTCCTGTGAACAGACTCCGTGACGGACATCCTGTCCTGGTTGAGGTCCCTGCCTGCCTGGGCCCCTGATATGATGGCCTTCCACCTCTGGTATGTCCTGCTGCTGCTGGCTGTGTAGGCTCTTGTTTCTGAGTCAAAAAATGAAGGGGACATAGCCTTGTAGAAGGACATAGATTTGTAAGGCACATAATCTTGCAAAGGGACATAATCTGAAGTTTGAAGGTGTTTACAATCTATGGTGTTGAGATGAAATCTTACAGTTCAATTTAAGGGTGTTAGCAAAACAATGGGAAAACAGGACTGCAAATAAAATAATCTTAAAGTTAACTGGTGTGATCAGGCCGGGATTTACACATATCCATGACACCTCAGGCCAGAGGTCTGAAACCTGTGGCTCTTTGAGCTTTCTCATCTGGCTCTTGGATAATTAAATATATTGCTGAAATGTTTTTATTTTAAAATGTGTAAATTAAATTTGAATTTAGTTATACATTATGTCTGCTTCTGTGGTGTTATGGCTGCTTCTATGGTGTCACGGTTGATATAATCGGCCTCTACTAAAATTAATGTTATAAATGCCAATCAGATTTTTTAATAATTTTTTTTTTAAAGGGCAAAAATTCATGTGGCTCTTTAAATTTTTTAAACTAGATAAAAAATGTAAGATTTGTCTCTCTGCCATGAAAAGGTTTCTCGCCACTGTCCTAAGCCACGACACATAATAATGCACAACCCCACCCTCACTCCTCAAAAAGTTTATTTATAACTTCCAATTTAATGTTTAATAGGTTGGCTTTTTTTTATACAAAAAATCACTTAATACCATCTTTGTAAATCTTGGAACCACATTATATTTTCAATTCAAATCTAAACTACCACAGCACCACCAAATTACCACAGCATGATTTTATGTCCTTCTTTAAAATAATACGGAAAAATGTGTAAACATTTGGTTATTTCTTCTAAATATACTCCCATGGCCGCTGCACCCCTAGGCCATGGCCCAGGTTGGCCTAGTGGGAAAAACTGGCCCACAGTATGATTGGACAACACACTAATCCGATCCTCACCTGCAACTATACCTCTGCACTGCTGTATGGTGGGGGTGGTCATTTTGACAGGCTCCAGTGGCTTTAATCTGGTGGTAGATGACCAACATATTATTAAATGTGGTCACAACATCACATGTCAGCACATTCAGACAGTATCATTCAATCACAACATCACATGTCAGCACATTCAGACAGTATCATTCAATCACAACATCACATGTCAGCACATTCAGACAGTATCATTCAATCACAACATCACATGTCAGCACATTCAGACTGTATCATACAATCAATCATTATCAATATGAAAAAGATATGATTACAGTTTTGATGAAACTTTCAGCAAATTCACTATAGCATGTTTTTACAGCTCTCTTACCTCAACTGAAAATTTTTGCTAGCGGGATCTAACAGCCAATCAGGGCTAGCGGGCTCTAACAGCCAATCAGGGCTAGCGGGCTCTAACAGCCAATCAGGACTAGCAGGATCTAACAGCCAAGCAGGGCTAATCCCTCTGGCTTTTCCCAGAGAACACACAAATGATGTGTTTTTTGGGTTTTTTTTTTTTGGTAATTGGAAATAATTTTGTTCAAAAACAAAAAGAGGTTTACTGTTACTTATGGTATCGTTCGTACTCCTCATGGGAGGATAACCAAGGCTTCTACTCAAGTAGTAGCCCTTGAATTGAGCTGTAATGTGTTTAAAATGGAGGAGAGTTGCTCAATTCAGCCTCACTCTTTCGTCCTTGCCTCTCTGATCCAAAGGCAAGACTAAGTCAAGAAGATGGGAAATAGCCCAGTATGCAGTAGATGACCATCATTGTCTCTATGGTATTTTTTAATGGTTTTGCTGATGAAACATCTGGTTTATTTAGCAGTTATGAACAAACCTAGCTTTCAGAAGACGACCTTGAACATGGTGCACTTTTGGCGGCCTCTGATCTCTCAGGATTTTCCCGACAACATGAGTCGCAAGGGCTGTACGCTCAATGATGTCCTGGCCAGGCTGTACACTCACCTGGAATCATAGATCAGGGAAACAAATGTAAAAATTCACAGATAGTTGATGGTCTTATCATAAAACAGCAAATATAAATGCATTGGTAGCGGTGTATTTGTATTACCGATGCAAAAATATTAATAACTTTGTTTTCTAAATATGAAGTCAAACATTACCCTTGCTTGTATACTAATGTCCTTGCAGCTTTCTACCATATTATGTAATCATACATTACTTTCCTATCGCTTAATCGTGCAACTTTCAACATTCTCTCAAACATGCAGTAGAGGATTTTTATTGGAAAGCTATTTACTTAATTCTATGTTACCTGATGAGCTTTTAATGTCCTTAGCATCATTTCTTTTTTTACATTAATCATCTAAATGTTATATGGGCACATATTACATGGCCCAAACATTAACACACATTAAAATGCTATTTGTACTCCTAGATTTTTGCAGCTAGCAATACGAGACATACATGTGTTTTGGCAGGCTTGTTGGTGCTGTGCTTAAATGGCATCTTGACCTTAGAATTGGGTTTGGCAGGGTGCTGAACGGGTGATGTGTACGAACTAGCAGAATGTAATCTCAAGGGAGCAACCTTGGCACTGAAAGTGAAAGAAAGCCATAGAACAACTAGAACCGCAGTGCATAAATGACAGCCTAAACATTTTAACTCTGTCTCAACTCGCTTATTTCCTAACTCAAAAGTCTAAATTAATTAATTCATAAATTAAGTTCATATATTTCTAAAATATTTTTACTTTCATCTCTGTAATCTATTTATCCTTACAGTGTTTGTCCATCAGATAAATTTGAACGGTTCGATGCTAGTCCAGTTTTAGCTCTTGCAGACACAGACTCACAGCTGGACCTCACAAATGACCTATCTGAAATATGGCAGCAAAAAGAAAGCAATTTGAGAACTGAAACTAGAATAAAACAAATATAGTTTTACCACAATAAAAAATTTAATCACATTTAGAAGAAAAGCTAGAAGAATATAAGATTTTTAAAAGTATTTCTTCAGATATTAAACTATTGTTTCCTTATCATTGGCCAGACTTTTTTTCAGATATAAAAACTGAATAGAAAAATAGACCCAAAATACCATTCACATTATCAGTCTGTTACATACCTTACCAAGTACATCAAGGATTAAATAACTAAAGATAGTCAAAAGCTGTTTCTGTAGTATTTAATTGATATTTCCGTGTACCTTTCTTGGCCGACTCAGGGTTCCTCATAGCTCCGGGCTTGAGATCAATGGATAAGAATGTTGATCCTGGAAGCTGCCAAATTTAAACAGCGTTAAGTAGAAGTTTTCACTAATTTATAGCAACATAAGTTATTCTCTCAGACACCAGAGGTTATCAAAGAGGAAGCAAAGCATGGTCGATTATTTTGATGAAACCTGGAAACTGTTAGTCTCAATTAATAATCATCACCTCATGTTCTTTGATTGGCCTTGCCCGACTAGAGATAGAACGAATGATGGAGCTCCCAGCACTTGTTTTGGACCTCTGTGTGGCAGGGGCTGACTTCCAAGAACCAATGCTGAGTTCTGAACAAACACTTGCAGCATCTGTAAATAAAAAAAATTTGTGTTAAGAAATATTTAAGTAAGATTTATCTCAATTTCTATTTCATATAGTGAGATAATTTTTTAGTTATGTTGAAAAATAAATTGTTTAAGTATTTAATCAAATATGAAATAACTGTTATGCATTGAAACTGTACCTGAAGCATTATCCACTTGTATATCCGTATCCTTATCTCCATCTTGGTTTAAATCAATTCTGTTTTGTTCAGATCCATTATGCAGACAGCTAGTGCCTCCCTGTTCAAGCCTCTCAGAGCCTAATACAAACTTGTGTGGATCAGATGAGCTTGTGAGTTCTACATTACTCTCTGGCGGTTCCATCCCATTTGATGGAAGCAATATTTGTGAAGTTCAACCAGGACAGTTCATTGCTATTGACACAATTTTATGTTAAATATAAGTTCAGATTTGTGTTGTTTTTTTTCAATTGGCTGATGTAAAGCATGATGAAGCAACCACCTGATGCTTAAACCAAACAAAGTCCAAAAAATTATATAGTTTATTTCTTTAAAATGTGTTCAAGAGAGCAGCAATAGGCAATAAAACATGCCATTTGTGGTATATGTGCCTCTAATTTTCTATAATTATTGAGAAAGATACAACTGAAGACTCAATTTGTCAGGGGAAACAGTGTAAAAAAAAAATACCTCCCAGTTGGTGGTGTGGTAAAAGATCAAGTCTCTCTAGTCTCTAACAAAATAAGTTCAACATTTATTTTTTTAATTAATTTATGATCCTGGAGTAAATTTCTGAAGGAAATTAAATTATTTAAAAATTTTTAAATCTCTATCCAATTAATACAAAACAGGATCCATCAAAGCTGGATTAATTCAGTTGAAATAATGATAAACTGCTTTTTATATGTTCCTATGTAAGCATTACTATAATTTATAGTACTTTAATCAGAGTAAGGCCTCTACCATTTTTTAAAAATAAAAATAAATTATTAATTACTAACAGGGCTATATAAATAGAATGTCTTAGCTAAAGAGTGAAAAACTTGAAAAAAGCTTCTAATAATTCTTTAGGGTCTTATTTACCAAATGTAGAAATCACCTTGCACATCTTCTTGTCACAAATAGTAACCATGGTAACAAATGGCAGTGGAGAAATTTCAAAATTGAAACTTATTACATAAAAATGAACTAAGGAGCACCATGGGTCAAAAGATATTGAAAATCCCAAACTAACAGTGGCGTAGCGAGGCAGGTGCGGGGGGTGCGGACCGCACCGGGTGACACCATTTTAGGGGTGACACCCGATTGAAAAATTGCATATTTACAGGGCACACATTGCTCGCAAAAATCGAGATTCATAAAAGAATAACCGATCACACATATATTTTTCACAAATGTAACCAATCCAAATGCGTGCTTTATTAAAAGTTCAAGGTTGATGCTATACTGTGGACTTATTTTAACAAGAAAAAATCGATCATAGAAGTTTGGGGGGGTGACACCATGAGTTTACCGCACCGGGTGACACCAACCCTAGCTACGCCACTGCAAACTAATGAACATATTTTCTGCATGAAATGGAAATGGATATATAAAATATATCCTCAAAAATTTGCTCATTCTAAATCAAATTCATTATTTTTATCATGAGCAAATTTAGTAAATCAGATTTAAAATCTATTAAAATTACTATTTAAATAATAATGTTGATTTTTGCCTGTTGTGCTGTTACTTTTGATGTTGCTTTTGAATTGCTATGCAAATTAAATATCTATGTGTTCAAATATATATAATATATGTGTTGTTTTATTGTTGTTGTTTTTTTTACATAAGGCCCTTTTGTTATTAGAATTATATGACTATATAGATTATCATTTTATGCAAAAGCCCCACACTCAACTAGCTTAATCGCAACCCCGCCCTGATTAAGTGGCACAATTTTTAGGATGCCGCTTTTCCACCGCACAACTCTGATTTTTAAGTAGGCTAAATCAATGCATTTTCAAACTAGGAAGATTATGATTAGAATTAGAGTTAGAGGTAGACTTTCTCACTTGGTACTTTAACATACAGTACACAAGTAGTAGTAAGACTACCTAAGTTAAGGGTGAAATTTAGACTAGTTGATATTATGTGTTAAATTATTATGTCATCATGTATTTATTTTGTGAGGAGGCTGAGGACGTTTGTGCAAGTAACTTCTATTTACTTAAAATTTCACCAACTTTGAAACAAACCACTGGTCCATATTACATGAATATGATTTATGATGTATGTTATTATTAAAATAGATCAACAATGAATAAACGGTAAGGAGAGGTCTGCGTCTTTAACTTTGGTTGGGGGATGTTTAAAGACTAAAGACTCTTTAGAAATCTATTTTTTTTTAAAAGCGATTTAAAATTCAGTATTAGAATTAGACTATTTTTAGTTAATTATTACTGCCTGCATTTAATTAATAAAGAATACACGTAAGTTTACATGACAAAGTACGAAATGCGTTAAGAAATAATGTACGCACCTGAATTCCACTTTTACCACTTATCTCTTGCACTATGATGAATAATTAAGTTAAGACTACATAACATTAACTAACAGATTTGTTTAGACTAAGCCGACTTAATCATAACTTAATGTAGGCCTACTCAAAGACGGAAACGCATTCTTCGGTCAGACGTCAAGATATTGTTTATGGTAGTGATTTGGTCAGAAACAAGATATAAAATTACGCGAAAAAAATATAATCAGATTGATATTTCTTTTTAAAATGAAAGAACTATTGCTTTTTTAGTTATCAGTTACTTCAATTTATGTTAAAATTAAAAATATTATTTATTGTTTCACTATTAAAAATAGTTGAACATTAAACAAGAAAGCTTTAATTGTGTATTACATTTAGAGCACTTTTCTACACATAAGAGCTATTCAAGGGAAATAAAATTATAACATGTCAATCCTGTTATTGCCCTTTAACAATTGTTTGAGACCTTACTTAGTGACGTAGTGTACGGACACAGTCAATTAAATCTTACAATATCAAGATGAATAATATAAATTAAAAAAATTTTGAAATGAATATAAATTATCAGTGCAAGTGTATGATAAAATTTTTGTTATCTAGCATTTTTGTTTGTTTGTTGTTGTGTTGTTTTTTTATAATTGTGATGAAGAAAAGACAAATTATTGTGCAAGTCTTTATTATATTATGATAAATGATCATAAATGATTATGATTACATCTTCACACGATTATTAGTTGACTACTGTTTACATATATATAATTTATAAAAAAAAAAGACTTTCTATCAAAGACAAGTTAAAACGTGCTAAAACGAAAACGTAGAGAATAATTTAAAATTTCTTAAAATGCAACACGCCTATAAAATCTATGCTTAAGTCGAGATGAGAGGCCAAAGGATTCGAATTGAATATACAATAAACTTTAATGTTTTATTTCTATTAATTCTTGAAAATATTTTCTGCATAGACTTTATTTGCGTAATGCATTTTAAGAGATTTAAAATTATTTTCTCCTTTTTACTTGTTAAATCTTCTTTGATAGAAAATCTTTTTTAAAATTTATATTTTTAAAATAATTATTTTTTTATTTTTCAATTTTTGACAAAAGTAGAATTATTTTTAAACAATTAATGCAAACAAAATCCCGATTGAAGTGACTTAATCAAGGCATAAAACAGACCCGCACCTGGGGGGGAGGGGGGCCATGGCTCTTGTCAAGGACCCAAGGTAGATAGGGGCCCGCCCTTTTTCGAGTTTTTAAAATGTACGCACATGTTTGAAAACAAAAGGGGCCCGAAATCTGTCAGCTGTTTGGGGCCCAACAATTCCTAGGAGCGGCCCTGCATAAAACTATTTATTTTTAAAATATAGATCTTAGCTCACCCACCCAACCGTTCACTCAACCGTGAAGCAGACGCGGTCAACTACGATATTTTGAATGACAGTTTTCAAACCGCCTCCGTCATCCAGTCGTTCAGCAGGTGAACACTGCACGAGAAATCTTTAAAATGTCACAATGCAAACAAAAAATAACGCTCCATCCACACAACCACACACACACACACACGATGGGAATGCGTGTAAAGTGAAGGTCTTATTTAAGAACATGTGAATAGTTTAACCGTCATGAGGAGTGGTTGTATAATAGATTCAGATCCAGGTCGATGCGGCATCAAGGACTCACATATATTATAGATTTGGAACACCCTTCCTGTCACTCTCAGAAACAGCCAACACTGGAATCCTTCAAAACTGATTTGAAAACGCATCTCTTCGCAAAAACCTTCTGGGGGTGATGTTGTCTACATCTCTTCCAGCTAGCTATTATCTCTTAGATGTTTAGTGGCCTGTGTTGGTTATAGTTGTAAGGAATGAAAGACTTAGAATGGATATTCTCGTAGGTAGTTTTTTGTAATGTTGCGTTTTGTGTTTTAATGTGGTAAAATTTAGATTGTTTAATTTCTCTTTTTTTTTTTTTTTTTTTTTTTTTTTTAATTTTTTTTTTTTTTTTTTTTTTTTTTTTTTTTTTTTTTTTTTTTTGTAGTACTGATGAAGGCATTTGCCGAAACGTTTCAATTTGTATTCCGTGTAACCATAGTTGAAGCTAAAAAAAATATTTCTTTTATTTACACAAATTGTCTGTGTCTCGTTAATATACTTCATAGCTTTATCGCAAGTCCAACACTTTTTTTTATTGTGTGTGCAGAGACATTGTTATTGATTTATTTAAAAGGAACGATGTATGAAACGTTGCTGTTGAAGTTTCCCACGCTCAATGATCAATGACACCGGTTTTTGACTTGATCCCAAAGAAGACCAAGAAATGTGTTCCTGAAGATGTTGTTGGTGGCAACGGAGATGAGGAAATTGGAGGCGCCGTTCACACTCAACACCAGCTGCGTCGAAAGGTCCTGCTGCACCGAGTACATGGGGAACAGGGTCAACTGGGGTAGTACGGACGGCAACGACACGAACAGACACGCCACGGTATACACCGCACAAACAGACAGCAGCGTCCTGGTGGTGCGGGACGTCGACGACGTCAATTTTTTTCGTGAGTCGCGCCCCCTTCGTTGGCGCGAGCGTCATGGCCCTGCGCTTCCTGGCGCGGTATTTGATTCTGATCCCGATGGCGACACACCCAACGCTGACGATGGCGAAAGGAATGATGGTCAGTGTGTAAAACTTGTCCAGAACTTCGGAGAAGGACGGCTGGTGCCAGAAGTAGTCTGACCGTTGGACGAGGCCGACCGTGACGTTCCGGGCGTCGTCGACGGCGTACCCGAACTGGTACCACGATCTGGCGTAGAGCTGGAGACCAAAGCACAGCGCGTACACAACCATCACCGCGTACACGGTTCTCCTCGGCGTGACGATCCTCTGAAATTTCAAGGGAAAGAACACCGCGATAAACCGCTATCTAGCGTTATCAGTGTTGGTAATCCCACCGAGGTTGCCCCCCCTCCCCAGTCCAAGATGTCGGAGATCTGGTAGATATAAAAGCACGTTCTGGAGACGCCGTCGGAAAACACGAAACCCTCGCGTCCCCCCCTCCCCCCCCCCCCCCCCCCCCCCCCCCGACCGGTACAGCAACTTAAAGACGCTGTTGGAGCCCAGCATAAACGAGATGTCGGCCACGGCGAGGGCAACCAGCAGGATGTTGGAGCTCCTCTTCGCTCCTTGTTGGAGCAGGACGATGACGCTGAAGCAGTTCCCAACCACGCTGAGAACGGCCACGATGGGGGTGAGTACAAAAACGATGACCCAGTTAATGAAGTGAACCAGCTCGGCGTCCTGGCTCAGTGAGAGTTGCGTGGTGCTGGTGTCCACGTCGTGTGTGATCGTGATCATCATGAACTTCTCAAAAGCGGGATAACGTTTTTTTTAAATGAACGGATCTTTGGTGTCACCCCTGTTAAATTTCTAAGGTGACTTAATTTTGTACGTAAATGAATTTGCGTTCAGTTCGTACGCATTCAATCGAGACACAACAGGGGGAGCAATCGTTGCTCACAATTTAAAAAAAAAAAAACACGAGTGATCTCCTTTGAAATTTCAACTAAAATTTAATTCCTTGGGTTTCCTTTATAATTATATTTTTATAAAATGTAGAAAACGTCAATTTTAAGTACAACATGAAACAAATATTGATAGGTTCATTTCAAGTATTAACAAACTTTTTAAGAGTGTTTCTACATTTTAATTGTTTTATTAGTTAATTGTCTTTCTCGTTAAATCTAATGTGCTTCAATACACTGTTGTCTTTTTAATCACTAACAGCTGCTGTATTTTAACGGGCCAATGGTAGATCGCCTAGGCTCCCCCCCCCCGCCCCTTCTGTAGCGAGGGTGATACTGCCTGCTTATTTGCCCTTTAAACATCATGCGATTGTATCACCATCTTCATGGAATGCCAAGAAAAAATGACTGTTTCTTTTTTCAGTATAATGTTTTTTAATTGTTTTTTTTTAAAATATTCTTGTTTCAATTCAATTCGTTGAAAAATGGATGTACGACAGACTACCAGCCACCAGGATAGTACATCTTTCAACACGGGCTAAGAGATATCATCACATATTTGAATGATTGTATACATTTTAATATACCACATAGAATAACCACAGCTGAGACACGCAGGCTTGTCCGAAAGAGCAACATTAGGTCATCGTCTGAAGCAACTATTCCATGCCCACGGTGTCATAGATTATTCCGAGCAAGGATCGGTCTATCAAGCCACCTAAGAGCTCACCGTAATCCCCCCCCCCCCTAACCGGATGATTCGATGGTCCTTGTCGACTTCGACGGACAAGGTTATTCCGAGCAAGGATCGGTCTATCAAGCCACCTAAGAGCTCACCGTAACCCCCCCCCCCCCTAACCGGATGATTCGATGGTCCTTGTCGACTTCGACGGACGAACAACAACACATTTTAATATAGCTCGACGAAAGAAAAGAATAACAATGATTACAGCTCACTTCAAATGTCTTTTCAATCAATGCTGTTGTTTGTGAGTAAACGATTATTTCCCTAATTAAAAAGTCATATATCTAAATGTACGTTCTTGGGTGAATTCATAATCATCTATAATTTAACCAATAATTGTGCCTCGGGTTAGTTATCAGTCAAGATGATACCTTCAGACAAATCAAGTTATCTAAGTCAAATTGATATTTTCAGAAAAATCAGTTGCCTTTTTTTCCATCCCGATACTGAGTATATAATAACATACAACATACAACATACTGTAGTTTAATAATAAGGAGAAATGTTTACCAGAGTTCTTTCCAAACCATCGCCTAGTCATCACTTGCTATTTAGCTACAGACGATTGCAGTTATTTTTTGTTAACATGACAGGGCAGACACTAACACCTGTAAAGACAGCCGTGATTCTGTAATCGATTTCACTTCGAGATGGATCTGTAATCTGTATGTGGATATCACCACAGCCAAGCAAAAGAAGTTCGAAAAAAGCATAGTTCCGGTAAATGTAGGAATTCGTAGTCATTTATTGTTCTAAACTTTATAATGCATCATTGTATCATGCCCAACCTTTCATTATGGATTTGTGGGGACAACAACAATAACAACAACAACAACAAAAAAAAGGGGGGGGGGGGTCTGTGGGATGAAAGCGTTTCAAACTGGTTGGAAATAACATAATTCTGGCGGGGATCGATTTAGTCTAAGTGTTCATGGGATACGTACCCGTTTAAACGTATAACTCACGTATAATGGAATTTCTATTCAAATGTGGATAAGTGAAGAACTTCCCAGTCATTTATTGTTCTAAACTTTATAATGCATCATTGTATCATGCCCAACCTTTCATTATGGAGTTGTGGGGACAACAACAATAACAACAACAACAACAAAAAAAAGGGGGGGGGGTCTGTGGGATGAAAGCGTTTCAAACTGGTTGGAAATAACATAATTCTGGCGGGGATCGATTTAGTCTAAGTGTTCATGGGATACGTACACGTTTAAACGTATAACTCACGTATAATGGAATTTCTATTCACATGTGGATAAGTGAAGAACTTCCCCTATGCCCTGTTCTTGAATGGCTTTTTTTTTTTGGCGTCGCTTTTCTGCATTGGCTGATGGTGTCCTTAACAAATGTTCAAAAAGCAATGTGGGACATTGTTGATTAGGATAGCGAGGTCGTGGATGATTCTTGTCAATGCTTTAGCCATTCTTCGATGACTGTGAGCGGATGTGAGTTTCAAAGCCATGGCGAACTCTGAAACGTTGGCCGCCAAACGTCTCTCGTCGCGGCGAGATGGCAAGGGGAAAGAATTCAGCTTTGGTGAGAACTTCGAGTGTAATCAAGGTAGGTGATTAAGACAGAGTAATTTCCAAAAATTTAAAATTGCAATCGTCGTAACTTGGACAAAGACTTTAAAAAAAATATATTAATAAGGTAAAATGTTTAAAAAAACAAGTACCACAAGAAGAACGTGCCAATTATGACGGACGACATGTGACCATGACACAGACGTGACACACGGCACTGGGTGACATCGCTTGACGCTAGTGAAACGTTTTTATTTGTCGTCGGTCGTTGCACATTTTCGATGACAGCTTGTGAGTATTTTGTTTTGTATATTACCAGTGCGCTTGGCCCGTGACCTTCAATGGCATTCAATAGTTGGCTGTTTGGTTGTTCCAGAGTTCAGGAGGGAGGGAGGGAGGGGGGAGAAGGGGCGGATGAGTCATAATAGGATGCCGACAAGTAGAAAACATGAGATTAAGTACATCAGCATTGAAACAAATATTGATTGATTCGTCTAGGGTCATTTCAAATGCTGACAGATTTTAGGCGTGCTTCTTACATTTTTTCATTGGTTCTGTGAGTTCACTGAGGGGGACCAAAGCTTGAAACATGATGCCATGGACGCCATAGACGCCATAGACGCCATAGACGCAATAGACGCCGTAGACGCCATAGACGCCGTAGTTAAATTCATGTTTAGATGTTGAAAACGTCGATGCATTAAAAAAACAAACAAAAAACTATCTGTTAATAAATGTGTGCGTGACGTACTACACACGTGACCCGTGTCATACACAGGCGACCACCAAGTGCGTTTTCAAATTCGTTTGACGAAGATTGTGCGTGAGTATTAAACAAACAATGTAAATTATAATTATAAGTGCTATTGTTAAATTTTAGTTGATCCATCTTTTTATTTTTAAATAAAAGCAATGTCTTTAAAGGAACAGTTTTTTCTGAATGCTACATTTAGCCAATCGCAGGCTAATTAAAATAAAGATTTGTATATAAAAATTCTTTTTTTTCCCCATTATGCTGAAGATCTGGGAACTTTTAAGCCACTCAAAAGTGTCTAAAAATGGTGTAGATCATTCAAATAGCATGTGATTTCTATCAGCCCATTGATTGGTCCACGTGGTGACATCACGTCATGCAAGATTCACTTTGTTCCTACACGACTTACCCCAAATGTCTTGAAGGCGCATGCCCAAGTACTCGGTGTGTTTTAGAATCAATGATGAGGGAAATTTTCCCAAAACTGTTTTTTTGCATTTTTGCACAAAACAAGCTATCAACAAGGTGTGTCAGAATAAGGACACACGGTAGTCGTTGTCAAAAGTTGTGTTGCTATTTTATCGCCCTATCTATTATGCACATTCCCCAAGTCTGCTGCTACACGATAATTGAATGCTATCTAGAACTTTATCATGCGTCTTCGTTTCCAAAAAATATGTTATGCCATAACTTTATTGAACACATTTTACTTTTATTTTGAAGTGCACACGATTGATTCCTTACGCAGTCGCATGGTTCTATTCCGCTGTGACGTGGCCCGAGCAAACTTCTGACGTGTCCACAACCAACGGTCGGACAATGTCTGGGACTCGAACGTGCTCCCACTCGCCGGGGAACCTGGTGCCGTCTGACCTGTTGCACTGCATGGAGAGCGGCGAGGTGCTGTACAGATCCTCCAGGAGCCGGACATTCAGGGGAGACCACTCAATGCTTTCATAGTTTGCCCTGTCACCCGCCTCTGGAGACACCTTTGAATTCTCGAATCTGAGGGGAATTGGAAAAAAAAAATAATAATGATGATGATGACGTCACTCGTGTGTTGTCAAGACACAAATTCTTGGTGTAACTCTCGAGGCAAATGTTTTAGGATGACGCCGTGGGCTAAAAATAGAATGATTCACATGTTCTAGCGAGCGAGAGTTCTACGTTACGTGAATGAGATAACTATGAATGGTATGTCTCATTGAATATCTATGAATAATGGGGCAAAAAATGTGCAAGAAATCAATTTGAGTACAAGTGTTTCAATTTTAAACTAAGTACCCTGAAAACAGGTTACTTTTGTTTCAATTTATTTGTGTCCATGACCTTCTTAGCTCATCGAATTATTTTAAAAAAAAATTTAGAACAATGTGTAGATATTAGTGATTGTAAAAAAAAAAGTAATAATAATCCTTTCAAACTTGTTTGTTCACTGGTGAAATGAAAGATGGTAACTAGTTACTATTTTTGTGAGCTTGGCTTGCAGCTTAGGGGTACAACGATACAACTGAGAATTTGGTTTAAAAGTTGTTCCATGACGTCACCTGTTGAGCAAAAAGAAAAATGTGTGAAGCGAATCAGTCCTGACTGAGCTCTTGCAGACTTCAAGGTCAGACCTGGGGTAGTAGTGGACGTAGTTGAGACACATCTCATCTGTTATGGAGAAGCCGCCCTGGAAAGAAAAAAAAAAGAGAATCTTATTTCTAGGGTTAGTGCCACTCGTGGCGAGTCAATCGTTTTGCCTCCCTCCACCCCCCCACCCCCCCCCACACTTTTTTCCACGAAAAAAAATCTATGCAGTTGGCCGAAAATTCTGCACCTCAATAAAAGGTAAAAAGTGCCGCTTGGGGGGGGGGGCAGACCGCCCCCTTCTGCACCCTTTTCCTACACCCCTACTTAATAACCAGGGGAAATAATCCAAATCATAGTAAAAATGGCAAATAGTCTATTTTTAATTAATATTAGAAAATAACCGATACCAATAGTAATAGTTGCACACGCTGACCCACACGCTGACCCACACGCTGACCCACACGCTGACCCACACGCTGACCCACACGCTGACCCACACGCTGACCCACACGCTGACCCACACGCTGACCCACACGCTGACCCACACGCTGACCCACACGCTGACCCACACGCTGACCCACACGCTGACCCACACGCTGACCCACACGCTGACCCACACGCTGACCCACACGCTGACCCACACGCTGACCCACACGCTGACCCACACGCTGACCCACACGCTGACCCACACGCTGACCCACACGCTGACCCACACGCTGACCCACACGCTGACCCACACGCTGACCCACACGCTGACCCACACGCTGACCCACACGCTGACCCACACGCTGACCCACACGCTGACCCACACGCTGACCCACACGCTGACCCACACGCTGACCCACACGCTGACCCACACGCTGACCCACACGCTGACCCACACGCTGACCCACACGCTGACCCACACGCTGACCCACACGCTGACCCACACGCTGACCCACACGCTGACCCACACGCTGACCCACACGCNGACCCACAGCCACAGTACAGTTAGTTGAACACGCTGACCCACAGCCACAGTACAGTTAGTTGAACACGCTGACCCACAGCCACAGTACAGTTAGTTGAACACGCTGACCCACAGCCACAGTACAGTTAGTTGAACACGCTGACCCACAGCCACAGTACAGTTAGTTGAACACGCTGACCCACAGCCACAGTACAGTTGACTGTTTAAATTCCATGAAATTGCAAGCATGTTTCTATCTAAACATCAGATTTTAACTAAACAATAATTATTGTGAAGGCTAGTTATTCAAAGAAATGCGGATCTAAGAATATACGAAACTATCGCTAAAGACATGAAAACATTCTGGCTCACTTACAACTGTAGCCTTTGACCTCTTCGTTGTGTCGTACTCGCACGTGGTTATCAGCACGTCGCCCTGGATACATGTAAACAAACATTTTTACAAACCTGGATTGGATTTTGTGATCTATAAATGTATAAGAATTTACCCCAACTGATGCATTTTAAATTAAAACACCAAGAAAACCACTGTTCAGTTTAGCAGCCGCCATGTTGTCTACGCCATTGTCTGCAACCACTGCCAGATGTCGAACATAGGGGAGACAGGACGCCGACTCTCGGACGGGTGTACCGAACACCTCCGTGACATTACGCAAGATACAAATTGCCCCGTCTCCAAACACTTCAATAGTAGCGACTACCAGGGCAAGGTGGACTTTTTTCAATATGTTGGATCGTAGCTAGCACGAACACACCCAGCCGGGTGAATTGGGAACACAAGCTTATCCTGATCTATGGCGCACCAACACCCCATGGTATGAACGTCATGCCTCTTTTCACAACTTGAACCTAGCTCCCCCCCTCCACGTCACGACCTATCGCAGTGAACTTACTTCTCCCCTTTTCTTTCCGGCTTCCCTATTTAATCTCTCACCCACTTACTTTCTGTCACAATTCATTTGCTGCCCTCTCGGATACTACTTCTAAACTAAGTGCTATTTTTATTATTAATTTTATTCTGCTTTTTCTGTTGTTTTGTTCACTGACGAAGGCTTCCTGCCGACACGCTCGTTGTTTTGTTGCGTTCTTTTTTCAGGTTTAACCTTACTTTGTTTTACTAATTTCATATTGGTTTTTTTACAAGGATATTATAGGTTCTTTTGAAGAAGAAATGGAAAGGACTGGTCCTGTTGAAATCAAGTGGTTGGGATCTTTTGTTTCATGGTATTTTTCTTGACTGCAATATTGTTACAAAGTGGCTATTCGGACCCGGGTCCGAGAAATGAAAGGTTGGGATTAACTTTTTAAAAAAAAAAAAATTTTGTTAGGTTGTAAGACAAAATTTTGGTATCACATGAAAGATAATTGAATGGACTGAGTGTTTGTAAACTTACTTCTTCAGTTTCACTAAAACTACCACATAAACTGTTTTTTAAACAAATTTTTTTGAAGGGGGGGGGGGGAGTCAGGTAAGGTTTATAAGTCAATCGGGCATTGAATTCTTCCCCCCCCCCACCCCGACATCTGTCAGTCACGCCCCTGCTTTTTCAATAGCAACCCACCGGGATTTTTAACTTTCTTTTTTAATTTTCATAAAACTAACACATAAACTGTTTTTTTAAAAAAATTTTTTGGAGGGGGGGGGGGGAGTCAGGTAAGGTTTATAAGTCAATCGGGCATTGAATTCTTCCCCCCCCCCAACCCGACATCTGTCAGTCACGCCCCTGCTTTTTCAATAGCAACCCACCGGGAGGACGTGGTGCGGTTGCGGCAGCCTCCTGATCTCCTGGAAGTGGGGGCTGTAGTGGTTGTCCCGGTTGACTTCCGGAAGCTCCGCGCCATCCCGCGCGTGCTTGGTGTACACGCGGCGCCCCGTCAGGTGAGTGTGGAGCTGGGAGGCGAACACGTGGATGCCGGCAGGTGGTAAGCTCTGTCGACGAGATACCAGGGGGGTTGTGGGAGGGGGGAGGTGTAATGAAAGTGTAATAAACTCCGAACGTGAGATTTAAGAGGTGAGTGAGATTTTAGTGTGAGTGTTATCAAACTCCTGTGTGTACTAGATTGGTTAATTCATCAAGTTCTTTCACACGTTGTAATACGTCGTACTAGCACTGAATCAGCTCAAATCATAATAAATGCAACTTTAATATTTAATACAAATTCACAGACTGTAAATTTCTTACACACACGTATACTGCTGCTCAATACCTGAGAGAAATAAAACACATCCTTCTTCTACAAAAAGTTCCTTCCACGACTGACCACCAATCAACACGTACGTCACAAAACAGACTAGATCTAAGCAATACGTCATAATAACAACAAAAAATACGTCACCAAGTCAAGCGCGGGAACTGCGTTCACTAACTCATTAATCTCTAACAAAAAAACACACCGCGCGTAATCAAACGTAATATCTAGTCGCAACAATTATTACTGAACTTCCATGATTGACAAGCGTACACAGTTACCGTTGAGCCGCTCACCATTTGTGTACATTTGTGTACGCAGTAACCGCTCAGCTTGAAGTCCCGCTGTCCGGGCGGCACGGCCATCTTGTTGACGTACTCCAGTCCGAGCTCCATGATCCCCGCGTCATACTTCCGGAGTTGTGACGTCACGTGGAAGCGGATCCCGGACGAGTCCATTCGACCTTTCACGGCGGGGGTGATGGAATTGTAAAGAACGGGGTGAGAGAGGAGGGCGGTCAAATTTTTTTAAGACATGGAAATAAGGCGCTCAACTGTATTCTCTATGTCAGTGGTTCTCAACCTTCCTAATCCCTCGACCTTTCAATACAGTTCCTTATGTTGTGATGACCCCCAACATAAAATTATATTCATTGCTACTTCATAAATATGGGTTTTCCGATGGTCTTAAGCGACCCCTGTGTAAGGGTCGTTCGGAACCCCCCCCCAACCCACAAAGGGGTCAAGACCCACAGATTGAAAACCGCTGCTCTTTGTCCTTAATAGACATAGCACGCCAAACAATGTCGGCGCCAATGCGTGTTCTTCCCATCTACTAAAGCTACTTGACTAAACATGCATTCAAGTAGCGCACTTTATTTTGCGCGCCACATATTGAACACGGAATTAAAGCCATACATACATACGACTTAGAGGATTATTATGTGTGATGGTAAACGTGTATTAACATTGACGATTGTTACATAAAAATAAGCATTGTCAGGTGTAAACAATGCTATGACATTATTGACAGGTGCACACAATGCTATGACATCATTGACAGGTGCACACAATGCTATGGCATCATTGACAGGTGCAAGCAATGCTATGACATCATTGACAGATGCAAGCAATGCTATGACATCATTGACAGGTGCAAACAATGCTATGACATCATTGACAGGTGCAAAAATGATATGACATCATCGACAGGTGCAAATTACGATATTCCACAACGGCAAGCACATACCAGATTTCTTCTGTGGGTTGTTGTAGTGGACCTCAAGCAAGGCAAAGCGCGAGAACCCCTGGCCTCCCACGGGGACCCCTGCCTCCTCGGGGTATATCATCGCCTGGCAGCCGTGCCAACATGCGGAGAGACAATGTAAAACATGCAGAGAGACAGTGTAAAACAGGCGGAGAGACAGTGTAAAACAGGCGGAGAGACAGTGTAAAACAGGCGGAGAGGCAGTGTAAAACAGGCGGAGAGACAGTGTAAAACATGGACATTACACCTCAGACAAGAACTTTAAAACATTAACTACAACACAATACTCCACAGCTGTTAAAGGCAATTTTTTAGCGTTACATAATATAAAGAACTATACTGCAGATTGTTTTCTGAAGATAAGGATGTGATTTAATTGCACTTGTCTCATATCTGTTGCGATCACCAAAGTGTCTCTATCGATTCGAAGAATTTTAAGTTAAATACTATTTCTGATAATTAAATGAATTGACTAATTATAAGAGTCTTCTGAATTTTTTTTTTTTGTTTTTTTGTCAGAGACTAGCGCCTAATTCTTATTCTTTTCTCTCATTTTTTAGATAAAATACGTAAATATATATATTATGTAAATACTGCTATAAATGTTTTGTTTGTGTGTGTGTGTGTGCTGATTAAGGCATTCGCCCAAAGTCAACATTTCTATTCTGTATCATCTTTATTAAAGCTGTTTTTAACTGTTTTTTATTTACACACAAGTTTTGTACCTAATTAATCTGATAATTAAGCCCAATAAAGTCATACATTTCCCAAATGTTTTGCCTTCCAACACCAAATTCAACCTTAAAATTCCATGGATTTAGCCCCCACTTCTCCAAACTATCGCCCTTTCCGGGCCAAATGTTAATCAAAGTTTTGACAAACCGTGACCATCATGGAGCACGGCTTGATTGTTTTATGACACTTGCCTGGAGGTCAACTTGACGTCTGAGACACACAGCCGAAACTCACCTCCGCCCCCATGGCCCACGCGCCGATGACCTTCCTGCACACCTCCAGGCCTTCGGGCTTCCCTTCAGCTATGCCGGGCCCATTGTAGTACGGGACGCCGTGACCTGCTGGGACAGTGGGACTCAGTGTTACCTGGTATGCACTTATTGCACTGTTATCACTCGAGTGTTTGAACTACAACAAAAGGACAAGGCTTACATGAAGGCTATAGTGACGTAGGAAAGGGGGGGGAGGGTGGACGAGGGCAGCCACACATACACTTTTAGGAGACCGTAAAAAAAAAAAAGACGAAGGAGATGAAGGGATAAAAATAAAAGACAAAAATATCCATCAATAAATATATTGATCAAGTATAAACTACAATTAGATCCGTTAATAGATATATTGATCATGTACAAACTACAATAGACCCAATAATAGATATATTTTGGTCATGTAAAAACTACAACAGACCCAATAATAGATATATTGATCATGTACAATCCAAGCCCATTTGGACTTTCCAAGTCTAAGTGTAGTCGATTTTTTTTTAAAAGGGGAGATAGTCCAAGGTATTTGTTTTTTTAATCTCATTTTAAATATCATTCATTATAACTAGAAATATGACATTTTCGAAGAGAAGTATAAAACACAAACATCATTAAACCAAAACATAATTAGTATAAAACAAAATGTTGTGTTTTTTTTTTAAATTGTTTCTTATAACGTCAGAAACATCTTTCTATCCTTTTTTTATTTTAATGGGTTTGAAAGTTTTCAATAAACAAAAACGAGAAAAACCCACAATGCAATTACAAAATCTATTTATAACTCATCTTTGTTTGTTTAGGGGAGACAGTATGAACTCAGAAAAAGACGTTTATGATGTGGGAAGCATGGCCGTGGGGTTACTTCGGAGCTATATCTGCCCGCCGTACTGATATCAGTCCAATTACGGACAGTCAGTCATTACTACAGTGGGGTCTAAATCTCACTGGACCCTTGGCGCGAACTTTCCATTTTATTATTTTGCTTTTCTATTTGTATTTGTATTAATTATTTTTCAAATAATATTTTTACATATGTAATTTTTTCATAAAAAATATGGGACCACAATTTTTCACAAAAAATAAAAGAAATTGGAAAATGATTTTTTTTCCCCCACTAATCTATCTTAGTAGGGAACTGGGAAGAAATTAACACTATCAAGGTAATGAAAGCGGACAACAAACATGAACTGCAGCTTGGATACCTTAGCGAATAAAAATACTATGTGTAGACTTATAAGCGACAAGGCCAGTACGACTTTCTCAAGGTTGTTGTTTATTTTTCAAGAGGAGACAGTTCAAGATATATTTTAGAAAAGTAATTTGAAACCAAATGGCCATCGCCGTAAATAGAAATCAAATAAATTCAAAGACAAAATAGAAAGCAATCAAAATTGTAACCAATAAAAAAAACAACAATTTCTTAACTATAAAACAAAAATACTTTTTTTTTAAATTTCTTATAACGTCATCAAATTTTTTTCTGTCCTTTTTAAATTTCTCTGAGCTTTTAAGGCTTCAAAAAAAAAATTTTTTTTTTTTAAAATAAAGACAGACAAAAGCGAAAACCTGCAGTGAAGTCAAAAAATCTATTTATAACTCAGCTTTGTTTGTCTAGCGGATACAATAATATGAGCTCTGAGAAGGACGTTATGTTGTGGGAAGCATGGCCGTGGGGTTACTTCGAAGCTACATCTGTCCGGCAACGGACAGTCAGCCATTTCTACAGTGGGGTGCACATCTCACTGAACCCTTGGCGCAACATTTCCATTTTTTTTTTTTGGATGAATTTCTTTTTTAATGTTTAATTAATTGGAATGGTGAAAAAAGTTATCTATAATAAAAAGAATACGAAAATCTACTGAACATTTTTGTGACAATCTTCATAAAGTCAATACTGATCATAAATTATTGAGACAAAAAAGAAAACGCAAACATCATTATCACAAACAAAATATCTTAACTACAAAACCAAATAAGAACAATTCAATAGTTTCTTATAACGTCATAAAATTCTTTCTTTCATTTTTTCATTGATCTGAGTTTTGACCGTGTCTAAAAAAGAAAAGAAGTCAACCCACAATGCAATTTAAAAAAAATCATCTATTTATAACTCAGCTTTCTTTGTCCAGCAGAGACAATATGAGCTCTGAGAAGGACGTTATGTTGTGGGAAGCATGGCCGTGGGGTTACTTCGAAGCTACATCTGTCCGGCAACGGACAGTCAGCCATTTCTACAGTGGGGTGTAAATCTCACTGAACCCTTGGCGCAACATTTCCACTTTAATTTTTTTTATTTTGTTTTTGATATATTATATTTTTAATATTTAATTAATGGGTATGGTGAAAAGGTTATCTATAATAACAACAAAAAAAAAAAAAAAACGAAAATCTACTGTCCGTATTAGTGACTAACCTAATAAAGCCACTACTGATCTTAAATCATTTTGCTTTTGGCTTGATACTTATTTGTAAATAATGGTTTCATAAAATATTGATGACATGAATCTATATCTATTAGAGACTTTTATTTGTAATGCTTCAAAAACAAATTGTTCCATCAAATTAAACTACGATTTCAACACAAATTTCTGTAATACACTATGCACACATTTTGTCTTAATGTGAACTTTGAGCGTAAATTGGACTTATATAATATAATTGCAAATCAATTTTAAAATCTTCTCATTTTTTAAACATCTTATACATTTTAAACACAGCTACAAATCATTTTTCATAAACAAATATGCCCCATTTCGCCTTTTAATTCTAAAAAAAATGAAGTAAACAGAATAATTATGTCGTCCCCTAGATCAATTGAATATAAACTGTTAAGAATGTGACTATATCAAGGTAATGATAACGTAAAACAAAAATTAAATCAAGCTTGGCTACCTTACATACCAAACAAGTCTAGACATAGACTTTATAAGGGACAAGCGCAATCAGACTTTCTCAACTGTTGTCGGTTTTTTAAGGGGAGATAGTTCAAGATATATTTAAAAGTAATTTCAATCTAAATAGCAATCATTGCAACTAGAAATCATAAAGTTTCAAAGACTAAAGTAAAAAAAAATCAAATTTGTTTCCAAAAAAAAATAATAATAATAATTTCAACTAAAAAACATAATAATGAAAAAAACAAAAAAGTTTCTTATAACTTCATCAAATTTTGCTGTCCTTTTTTAAAATTTGTTAAGACTTTTGACCTTTTCTAAAAAAAAAAAAAATAATGACAAAACCCACAATGCAATTACAAAATCTATTTATAACTCATCTTTGTTTGTTTAGGGGAGACAGTATGAACTCAGAAAAAGACGCCTGTGATGTGGAAAGCATGGCTGTGGGGTTACTTCGGAGCTATCTATATCTGCCCGCCGTCCTGATATCATATTTGTTAAGACTATTGACCTTTTCTAAAAAAAAAAAAAATAATGACAAAACCCACAATGCAATTACAAAATCTATTTATAACTCATCTTTGTTTGTTTAGGGGAGACAGTATGAACTCAGAAAAAGACGACTGTGATGTGGAAAGCATGGCTGTGGGGTTACTTCGGAGCTATCTATATCTGCCCGCCGTACTGATATCAGTCCAATTACGGACAGTCAGTCATTACTACAGTGGGGTGTAAATCTCACTGGACCCTTGGCGCGAACTTTCCATTTTATTATTTTTACGTTATATTTGTATTTGTATTAATTGTATGTCAAATGTTCAAATAATATTTTATTGAAAGTAAGTCTTAATTATTGATTCATTAAATAAGGTGTATTACTAGTGACTGAAAATTTATGTTTAGAAATTTTTGTAAAATATATATAGACAGTTCTAGATAAAAATATACAATTTAAACAAAAAACATTTTTTTAAAATCAAGTACGAAATGAAACCAACAAAAATTAAAAATTAGAATTTCTTAAAAAGCATCATGCAAAGAAAGACTGTGCAGAAGTGCAGATTTGCACTACATGAAGCCAAAGAAAGACTGTCCATATGAGCACTAGATGAAGCCAAAGAAAGACTGCAGAAGTGCATATTAGCACTTCATGTCGCCAAAGGATTCGAATGGAATGTTGACATAATTTAAATGTTTTATTTTCATTAATTTTCTGCCCCACCCCCCACACCCACTTTTTCCCCACCATTCACTGAACGAAGCAGACGCGATGTCGACACAACTCATATGCGACCTTTCAGGTTACCGTGAGACAGATGATGAACCGAGCAAGCTCAACCCGGGGGCAGTCTTTCGGGTATTTTGAGAAAATTCTCAGTGGGTCCAAGCATTACAACAACAAAAAAAAAGAGTTAATTTCTCATTTTCTATAACATATGCTGGTCTTCAAACAATAGGCCTAGAGACAGTCCTACACATTACCTGCTACACCTACCTACCGGTCTTTAGATAATAATCCTACAGGCAGCCCAACAGACTTTACTACACCATACCAGTAGCTTTGTATTGATTAATGTAATAGTAGCCTTCCCCTAATATAAAACCTGTGGAGATTTGTCGGGGTGGAGGGGGGGAGGAGGGTGGAAAAGGAAGAAGGACACACCAGATAAAATATTATATATTAGAGAAATTGTGTGTACTGTGTAGCAATAAAAAATTATAATATGCCTAAAAAGTATATTGATTTTTTAATGAGAAAAATAGGTGTTCTCGATTGTGCTTCCCATTCCACCACTCAACAGCTTGGTCGTGGAAACCCAAAGTCCCGTGGAGGGCCGCCATGAAAAATGCCATTCGAAAATCTTATTGCGCTTTGCGGGAAACCAAATCTGGTTACTACACATATCTGTATGTTATGAGAGGTAAGTTGGCCAACAGCGAACATAACGGATCGTGTGTAAAACGAGGCTGACCTTTTTGGACCTGACAGTGGAAGACTTCCATGTGGTGGACGAGGTCACCGCTTCCCTCCGCCACGATCCCCTCGTACTGCAATAGAAAGTTGATGCAAATGATTCCAAAATTTGGTCAATGAATATGCAATGGTTATTGTGGTCTTTAGGAGACATTACGGGGGTCTTTATAGAAATAGACATAGACCTCATTATCTTTATAGAAATACTTAGACTGGAGCAAAGGTGCATAAGACATAGACCTCATTATCTTTATAGAAATACTTAGACTGGAGCAAAGGTGCATAAGACATAGACCTCATTATCTTTATAGAAATACTTAAACTGGAGCAAAGGTGCATAAGACATAGACCTCATTATCTTTATAGAAATAATTAGGCTGTGATCAAAAGTACATAACACATTATCCCCACCATTATCCGAAAATCTGAACTCTCGACCCCCACCCACACCCCAAGGATCCCACTCACCTGTATGATGTGGTGGGGTGATGGCATGTCCGGTAAGATGGTAGTGTGCCACCAGTAGGTCGTCTCCTCGGCTGGCACCAACACCTGGAAATATTTTGTGAAATCGACTCGTGGTTTCGGAAATTGTGGCGTGGGGTGCTATGGCGCCCCCTTGCGTGATCACGTGACGAGACGAGCCATTCTACTGCGCGCCTAATCGCGTGTTAGTCAATATGCTAGCTGTCTAGGGATTACCTGGTGATGTGTTAGTCAATATGCTAGATGTCCGGGGATTACCTGGTGATGTGTTAGTCAATATGCTAGATGTCCGGGGATTCCCTGGTGATGTGTTAGTCAATATGTTAGATGTTCGGGGATTACCTGGTGATGTGTTAGTCAATATGCTGGATGTCCGGGGATTACCTGGTGATGTGTTAGTCAATATGCTAGATGTCCGGGGATTACCTGGTGATGTGTTAGTCAATATGCTACATGTCCGGGGATTCCCTAGTGATGTGTTAGTCAATATGCTAGATGTCCGGGGATTCCCTGATGACGTTTTAGTCAATATGCTAGATGTCCAGGGATTCCCTGATGGCGTGTTAGTCAATATGCGAGATGTCCGGGGATTCCCTGATCATTAATTAAGTGAACCCCATGAAATCGGCTGGTTTATTATATTATTTCAAAAAGGGCCTTTATTTAAAGTAGCCCCTAACTCATTGCGTATGATGACGTCAGCACGCTACATCCGGCTGCCACAGCGGTGGACCTGACACAACACAGTTTAGTTCACGACACAAACTTCTTCTGTTATGTTTAGTAAACATTCAAAATATCCCTGGGGAGATGAAGGACCCCCCCCACCCCCGAAATCGCCCTTGTTTCCTTTAACCGGATCCGATACTGATGATTTTAAATGACCTACCACCTCCCTTACTTTTCAAATAATCTGACACCCTGGCCTTGCATTCTCTGGCTCCTCTCAAACTTCCGCTTACACTAGATTGGTTAATTTATCAAGTTCTTTTTTTACGTTGTGATACGTCGTACTGGCATGGCACCGAATTAACTCAAGTCCTTTTTCATAATAAATGCAACTTTAATATCTAATGGTAAATTCGCGGACTGTCAATTCCATGTACACATGTGTAGCGCAGCTCGCTATCAGACAGAAATTAAAACACGACCTTATTCTACAAAGTTCCTTTGACGACTGCCCCCACGCCTAAAACGTACGTCACAATTAAGCAATGCGTCATAATAAGCATAAAAATACGTCACGGAGTGAAGCGCGGGAAGAGCGTTCACTAACTACTTAATCTCTCAAAAAACACACACCGCGCGTAATCAAACATAATATCCAGTCGCAACAATCATTAATGAGCTCCCATATTCCACAGCTCCCTTTTCGAAATGTTAGTGTCAAGTTCAGATATCGTTATTCAAAATGCAAAATGTCAAAGTTTCCCATGAAGGTATCGTAAGATTATGGAAAGGGGGGGGGGGGGGGGGGGGGGGGGGGAATGGATACTGACCTCGGGCGCCCTGACCTCAAACGACCACGTGTCCTCGGGGAACACTGGGGCCGAAATCTCGGGTTTTAACAGCTGCAGGCGTTGGACCCCGTGACGTAGTCGCGTGACGTCACGGGCGAGGGGCGGGCCCTCGGGCTGCGCCGACTCTACGTACACGAGATGCGTGGTGCCGTTCTGGTGAAAGAGAGAGGACAGCTACGTAAACGTCTTGCTGACTGTTTGCAACAAACTTATTGGTCAGTGGGTAAAATGGTCAACATTTCAATGAAACGATGACGTCATTCACTCCAGTTGATAAAGATGTTCAATAATATGCACACAAAAATGTGTAATTAGTTTGTGTAAAGCAGTGGTTCCCAAACCGTTTTTTTTTTTTTTTACCGTGAACCAGCTATATAAATAAAATTCCCGATAACTGCGTTAAATGAGACCCTTTAACAAAAATGATAATAATATCGCACGTGCGTTTGGTGCGAAATGTTGTTTTTTTTCTGAAATAGTTGGTAAAATAAATCTGCGGTGTAAAAGCAGGTGGGTCATTAGAATATTAATTTAGCGGGGGGGGCCTTTAAAATCGTATCCGGAAATTTGATCGAAAGAAATTTCATCGACGGTAAAATGGTCGACGGTATTATGATCGAACGGAAATTTGGTCGAATCTTCTTTTCAATTTTTACGTTACAATATTGCATCAAATTTCTTTTAGAACGCATTATCTTGTTTGACTATCTAGTAGAGTGCGTTCAAAAAGAAATTTGACGAAAATTTTAACGCGTGGACTGAAAAAAAGATTCGACCCAATTTCTGTTCGATCAAATTACCGTCGATCAATTTACCGTCGACGAAATTTCTTTCGATCAAATTTCCGGTAACCCTTTAAAATGATCCGGTTCAGAGCCTTAAGGAGTGTGGGGGGGGGGGGGAGAGGCGCTTATGGGGCTTCTTATAAAGGGAAATTACCGTTCATCAATTTACCGTCGAGGAAATTTCTTTCGATCAAATTTCCGGGAACCCTTTAAAATGATCCGGTTCAGGGCCTTAAGGAGTGTGGGGGGGGGGGGGAGAAGCACTTATTGGGCTTCTTATAAAGGGCGTTACTTGTATGCATGTTTTGTCAAATTTTCAGCCTCACCATCCCCCCACCCCCCTTTTTCGCTCAGTGTTACATTTTATCAAGTTTTTTACGAAAAACTTTAATTTTTTTTAAAAATTACGTTCACCTGTAACACTTTCATCTGTAACTTTTTTACCTGTAACACGTTCACCTGTAACACGTTCACCTGTAACACCTTCACCTGTAACACTTTCACCTGTAAACGTTCACCTGTAACAGCTTCACCTGTAACACTTTCACCTGTAAACGTTCACTTGTAACACTTTCACCTTTAACACTTTCACCTGTAACACTTTCACCTGTAACACTTTCACCTGTAACACTTTCACCTGTAACAATTACACCTGTATCCCTTTCAACTGTATCACGTTCACCTGTAACACCTTCACCCATCAACAATTCTATTAACCCACGAAAACGCCTTACGTCCAGGGCGTAGTCCTCTGGGTCGCATGTGTTGAAGTGCCTGTAGAAATCCAGCACAACTGACCCACGGTCATCGGCGACTGATGTCAGATGGTAGTCCTGTTGCCGGTCAGGTAGAAATATCCCATCCGGTGTCGTGTGACCATCCTGGGAGAAGCAACAAAGTACTACAACTTTTTCCAAAAAAAAAAAAAAAAAAAAAAAAAAAAATTTTAAAAAAAAAAAAAAAAAAAAAAAAAAAAAAAATTGAAGGGAAAAAAAAATCCTACCCGGGTACCCGTCGGCCACGTAACCGGGTATCCGGGTGTCTGGCGAAGCAGACTGGTTAATGGGGAGTCATTAAGTTCATCGACCTGTTTTATTATCTGCAAATTGTAACAGTATTGATTTTTTTTTTTAAAGTCTTTTCCAGATATATCTTCAACTTAGTGATTATCATTATCACTTTTTACATCAATTTCCATAAAGTCAACATCGATCTGTTCGATTTATTCATCACCTTTTTAGTTTGAAATCGTATTTTAGTACTTAGAATATAAAGAACAACAAAGACCAAAAAAATGACCATAAAATGCTTATGTACAGGGAGGTCTGGGTTACAGAAGACATAATTGTTACATTTTGGACAAGGTTTTTATTGATCCAAATAAAAGAAAATCTGTCTTGTTCCATTGGACATATTTATTTTCAGAATATAGAAAAAAATTGTTCTAAATTTTAAAAATAAAAAAAAAAATTTAAAAATGTAGCAGTTAGTCAGGGTCCTGACTAATTTAGCAAATAATGACTTATATCAGTGGTTCCCAACTTGTGCTCCCCCAAGCCCTTAGGGCTCCGAGTGCACTTCTCATGGGCTCCGCTGCCGCCCCAGGAAACCCACCCAAACACTATTAATGCCCCTTAGAATGTGATTCTTACAGGGTTCTCTGGGTAAAAAAACAACAAAAAAGTAGGGAACCACCGACTAACATAGTCACCAATGCCACTTTGTATTCTTTACAGCTGTTATATGCGCTCTAAATGTCTCACAAATCAGATTTAGTGTCTTTAACTGTAGACAGTAAGAGTCATCAATAACTTACGAAGAAATGGTGCTTGCCATCACCGTCTGTCCAAAACAAGATTAGGTCAGCGGAAGTGACGTCACCGTAGTCCGAGAATCCAAAAGCAAGCCAGCTCTCTGGCGTGACCTGTGTGTAAAACGGGTGAATTAATCAATGGGGCAACAGTGGGATTATAGGCGTGGTCTCCTGGCAGGGAATGTGATCTCCTGGTAGGGAACATGATCTCCTGGCAGGGAACATGATCTCCTGGCAGGGAACATGATCTCCGGGCAGGGAACACGATCGCCGGATCTGAGACTCGATATCCGGGTATTGAAAGTGATCTCCGGGTCTTGGACGTGATACCATGGTAATTTAAGTGTCCTATCTGTTATGGCTGTGACCTATGTGTTAAAAAAGTGATCCAAGGGTCTTGGTCGTGATTTCACGGACATAATATAACCAGTGGCGTAGCTAGGATTGGTGTCGCCCCTGGGGTGCTGCCGCCCCAGGCCGCACGCCCCGCACGTTGTTTCGTTGCGTTCCTTTTTTCAGTTTTGACCTTACTCTGTTTGACTCATTTCCTACTGTGCTAATGATTGCAGTCTCTCCCCTTATGTCTCTCCCAGCTACGACACTGGATACAACACTATCGTATGATATGATACAGCGGTTCTCAACCTGTGGGTCTCGACCTACCACAAATGAAATCCCAATAGCATTTAGTCAAAATGGCCCCGGACATGCAGCGCCGCCATTCGCACCCGGGTCCCATTAGACTAGTGCTATTCGAATGACATTTGTGGTAGTTTATTTTAGTTAAACTGAAGAAATAAGTTTACAAACAGACTTTTCCATTCAGTTATCTTTCATTTGATACCTCGTTTTGTCTTACAAACCCAACAATAACATTTTAAACAGTTTTTTAATCCCAACCTCTCACTTCTGGTACCCGGGTACGAATAGCCACTTCGTTTTCTTTTTATATTTTCAAATGAAAGTCTTACAGTGAAGTGAGTAATGATTGATGCTAGTTTATGTGTCAAATAGCATAAAATAAGCCTGTTCCATAATTTCAGAACTAGTTCAAGGTCATAATGAGTCATATAACTCGTATGCTACTTACAATTTATAATAAGAAGATAATGATATTTCACTGTGAAAGTATAAACTTGATATAATTTATTACATTACCATTGAGTCATAACACCACCAGTACACCACCATAACGCCACCAGTACACCACCAGTACAAGATCTCAGTGGCCTGTACACTGATTTAGATTTTTTTTTTTTCTAGGATTTTTTTGAAAAATAAGTGTTTGCTATTTCGGTCACAATTTGTTTTTATTATCAAGAGAGGTCACTTAAGTGTAATAAGTGATGAATAAGAGATGCCATTGGCTTTTAAAAAACCATAAAATATAGTTTAATTATAAATAAATTTCAATTTTCATTTGAAAAAAGCAGGCAGGTGACAATTTTGGGTGAGCCTGCATAATTCACTGTAAACATATGTCACAAAATACCTAGCGACTGAGATATTTTTAAAAGGAAAACGGTATCACTAAATACGGGCAAATTATAGCATTTTATTTTTACTTGGGAAAATGTTGGATTATTTCAAACTTTAAGATCCCCTTTTCTCAAACTCTTCAAAATGTGGCATGACAGATTTTTTTTCCCCACTGAGATCTTCAATATCTCATCTTTTTAAAGTATTGGTATATATTATTTTCATTAGCAAACCATCCCATGACACTGGATCGTGTACATAGGAACGTTTAGAAAAAAAAATACTGCAATAATTATTTACAGTATGATTTTACCTCAATAATTACACCAGGGATTGAGCAACCGCATTGCGTTATTTGTCGTGAAGTTCTATCAGCCGAATATCTATGAAGCTGAACAAACTCAAACGCCATTTTGACAGCAAACATCCGAGCCTTGCCGGCAAGGTTACCAACTATTTTAAAAGCAAAGCCGGCGGACTCCAGAAACCCAGACTTGACACTTGACACTGGTCGCAAGTACCACAAACACAACGTATAATATAGCAGGCGTTGAGGCTTCTAATGTGGAGGCACTCAGAATCACCAGAGCTATGAAACCTCACACCATTGCTGAAGATCTACTGCTGCCAGCCAGCAGCCAAACACATTGTTCGCGTTATGATCCGAAAAAAAAATTGTTACGTAATTGAGTGCAATTTTTTTTTTAATCTATCGATACTCTTCGCAGAAGAAATAGTTGACATGGTAATCAAGTCTAAATACAAAAGTAGACTTGTTGTGGGAGATGATCTTCGTTGTGTTCTTGCAAATATGCGGAATGTATAAAGGAGGTCGCGGCATTAGAAAAGGCTTAGAACCGCTGATATAATACATAATGTTTCTATGTTAGCATCAAATGTTTAGGTCCGGACAGATGACCCACGATGACGACGTCACGACCACCTGCGCACCCCCTTCGGCATCACGTGACAGGGGGTGGCCGTCTGAAAAAAAAACACGTCCCCCGCCATCTTTGTAAACCAATCTTCTGCCGAATGACCCTCGACAGTGATTTCCCCTCGTTGAGATTTCCCTCGCTTCCCCTCTCGTCCGTCAGCAGCAGACGTCCAGATGACGAGTTTGATTGCGCGAGAATTCGTGCATTCTAAGAGCCGGAAATGGAATTCTGGATAAAAGGGGAGTAATCCTTGACCAATAGTTTATTCAACCACGTTTTGCAGGAGCAATACCCCCCCCCCCCCTTTTCCCCCCCCCACCCCCCCCCCCCAAAAAAAAAACATTTTTTTTTGGCGTTTTCACTGATGGAGGTTTGTGGGATGAGGAAGTGGGGGGGGAGGGGAAGCGGGTAAAATGGTATACTGAGAGAGGGATATGTTAAAATAGGATGCGTGATGGGGTTAATGGGATGTGGGATAATGGTGTATTAGAGGCATATCAAGAAGGCTGCGGCTATTCGGACCCGGGTCCGAGAAGTGAGAGTTTGGATTTCTTACAAAAATATTTTTAAATTATTGTTGGGTTTGTAAGACAAAATGAGGTATCAAATGAAAGATAATCGAATGGGCTATACGTTTGTAAACTTACTTCTTCAGTTTAACTAAAATAAACTACCACAAATAACAAATTCCGGGCCTTAACGTTTTTTTTAATCAGTCAGCTGACCCCCCAATTTATCGTTTATGATTACTGAATATCATAAACGATAAACTTCAAAGCAACAATGCATAAGGGCATGATTCATGATAAAAGATTAACTTCCGTTTTTTATTTATTTCTTTAACCTAACAGTGGAGTGTGAGGCTTTGGTTAGCCAAAACCTTGCTCATCCGAAATACCCCGGTCCCATCCCAATGATTTCGGATAAAACAACGCACTAGTGTTTAACGTCAAACTATTCTATCAAATGTCGCACTACTGTTTAACGTCAAACTATTCCATGAAATACAGAGTAAGTAGCGTACCTTGCACGTGAGCTGGACATTGATAAGACTTTCCTTGTAGTCCACTGACCACTGGAACAGGTACCTGCTGTCGGGGTCTAGGGTCACTTGATACTGATACGCTTGAACCGAGTGGTCAGCCGAGAGAACCACGAGCCAGACGACAGCCGAGATCGACCAAGCGTGTCCAGCCATGATCGGTATGATTCAATACTTGAATAATTTTCTAACTATAAAATACGTTCTATTTATAGATTATGTGTATAATATGCCCTGCTGAAATTTAAAGAAAAAAAAAAAAAGAGGCATATCAGAAACCTGAAATCTTACCCAACACACTATGCCACACTAAAGATTATATAATCCTTCTAATAAAATTTTTGTTGTAACAGGAGGGAACAATACTCTCTACCAGACACTCCATTCTATGCTGGTTACACTTTGTTTCACATGTTTAGTATACTAGCCACAAATGGTCTTACTAACTACTAAATTATAGAAAATGACAAAAAAAGCACCACCATAAGTCCCGTAAGTCCTAGTCGATCGATCATGTCCTAACAAACAAAATAAGTCCTAGCAGACACGATAAGACCTAAAACATCTAATAATTCCTAACAGACACAAAAAGTTCTAGACAATCAATAAAATTCTAGCATATTGATTAAGATCATATCAGACACAATAAGTACTATCAAACACGAAAAGTCCTTAGAGACAACATCAATCCTATAAGATATAATACGTCCTACCAGGCGCAACAAGTCTTACAAGACTTTCCGCCAAGAAATTAGAGACTAGATTACGTTTGGGAAAACTGTTTAATAAAACGAATACTAGTACCGGTAACAACTTCTTGCTGTTAATTAAGATCTTCTGATATGTCCAACTAATGAAAGTCCCCTTCAAATCTCAGTCCTAAAGCGAGCGTGTTGACGCGTCTGAAATACAACCCACAAACTTTTCGTCTGCCCACGCGCTGGCCGATGCCTTAGCAGTCCGAGGAACTGTCCCACACGGCACCTCGGTGTTTTGGTAGCTTGCATAAATTATTATAAGGTGAGGTGGAGAAAGAGAATTATTACTTTTTAATATAAGGGTAGGGCCTAAAGTATTTTTTTTATAATGTAATTTAATATATTAATATTATAGCTGAAATAATATAAAATAGCATTGGTTAATCATTTTCAAATATAGCATTATAATCCTATGCCTATCAACAAAAAAAAAAAACAAAAAAAAAAAAATTTTAAACAAAGTTTTAAAAAATTCTTTGTATTCAATGAGTATGGCAATTTGTAGGCCTGCTATTATGAGTTTGATATTCTTAATTAAATATAATGTAGTCTATAGAAGTAGTAGTAGTACAGTAATCACAATAATATTAATAGGTTAGCCTACAGCTATTACCATGCTAATAAATAGGCCCTTTTATAAATGCTACTGACAAAAATTAGACAATGACAGTATACGAATATGAACAATAAGAATACCTCCAAAAATAATTTTCACCAGCCTAACAGTAATAATACATCCAAAAATAATTTTTTCACCAATCTAGTTCTAAAGTGTCGATCAGATTCACAGGCATAAAAATAAAATGGGTTGCATGTCCAAACGTAATTGTTTTGTTATCAAGATGAACAGCAAATTGCAGTATGACTTACTACGTGTGATATTATCCTAACACATGCACCATTTCCTATGCGAGAATTTAGCACACGGCAGGAGAGTTAGCCTATTACACATATTTGGTGTACATACCCTTGTTGTATACAGTCGTATCAATAGCTTATACGCGCATTGCAGTATGTGTGACCAGAACGATATATTATAAGGGTTGGTGTTGTGCTCACGAACACATTGGTATCTAATTCATTCTATTTAAGAATTCAGTGGACGGTTGTATGGTCAACCATTTCAAATAGTATGGTTATAAGTCAAACTGCCGGCTGTAGGTCCATCCTACAATCTATTATGGTTATAAGTCACACTGCCGGTTGTAGGTCCATCGTACAATCTATCATGGTTATAAGTCACACTGCCAGTTGTAGGTCCATCCTACAATCTATCATGGTTATAAGTCACACTGCCGGTTGTAGGCCCATCCTACAATCTATCATGGTTACAAGTCTGAACATAAATCTTCCAATACTAACACCTAACAATTTCATACTTTAAAAAAAAAAAAAAAGAGAAATATAATGGCGTATTTGCTTATACTCACAGAGCGTTCTGTTCCAGTGGATCGCGGTGCACAATGACACACTTCAGGGATGCTGTTCAAACCTCGGAAGGTCCAACGCCTGAGTGTGCACCCGTTAAGAAGCCGCGCGCGGATATACGAGACAGTCCTTACGTCATGCCGAGACAAAAAGATCGTCTACGTTTTGCCGTCTGGCAGATTCCTTGGGGGTAACATGACTATTACTGGGGACTACACCCGAGTCATCATTCAAATCCCTGACCAAACCCCCTCTATTACTGGGGACTACACCCGAGTCATCATTAAAATCCCTGACCAAACCCCCTCTATTACTGGGGACTACACCCGAGTCATCATTAAAATCCCTGACCAAACCCCCTCTATTACTGGGGACTACACCCGAGTCATCATTCAAATCCCTGACCAAACCCCCTGACGACTGATATGTGTCCTGTGCAGTTTTGTCCCGGCCATCTAAGACCCCCTGACGACTTCTATGTGTCCTGTGCAGTTTTGTCCCGGCCATCTAAGACCCCCTGACGGCTTCTATGTGTCCTGTGCAGTTTTGTCCCGGCCATCTAAGCTACATTTTAATATTTTTAGTGAGTTACATAGGTTTTGAGAAATTTGAAAAAAAAACGGGTCGGTACCCCCAGGGCCGTCTTAACAACATAGGGGGCCCTGGACACAGCAGTGCACTGGGGCCCACAGCAACATAACATGTCTGGGCCATGAGAGGGGGTGGGCGAAGGGGGGGGGGGGAACTCGCCCCATGCTCAAACAGTTGTGGGTGGGAGGGGGGGGGAGACAGTTGCTGCTCCCCACCAACTCACCAAGAGGAATAAAAATGTAAAATACAAACAAACATTCAGTAATTCAATTCTTCGATGAATTCAATTTATTGAAACAAAACCATTCAAAATCAATAATAGCTTTTAAACATTATCAGAAATAAATAATAAATAATTACAGAGAATGATAAATTATCATCATTGACCGATAGATCGAATAAATTATTTAATATAAATCAACATAATCGTTTGCGAATTTTTTTATTTTTTTTTGCAGATAATTGTTTCATTATTGGTTTAAAATCAATGGTCTTAAGGATGTAATTTTCCATGCAAAGCCAGTTCGAGAGTTTTTGTCTCATTGTACTGCGAAGCTGAATCTTACAATATTTATTTTGATTCATGTCTGAGGAAAGTAAAAACTTTTTGACGAGAGTTATTCCCCTTTAAATGTTTTAAAACTGTCAAACTTTGATTCGCATTTATAATATTAATTTTGGAATGTTCTGATATATATCGTGAGTTAAAATTGGGAAATGGCGAACGTTAAGTCCAGTTAATTGTCAAAATCTTTTAATTTCATTAAAAAATATGTACAGCATGATGCCTCTATAAGAGGGAGTCTCCTAGAAACTTGGGGCCCCTTACAAGCGCGGGGCCCTGGGCCAGTGCCATGGGCGCCCGCAGAAAACTTTCTAGGGGGGAGCAAAAAAATCGATTAACTTTCTAGGGGGGGGGCAAAAATTTTTTAGTAATGTTTTAATGTAGTTTTAATTTACTGTAGCGTATTTGTATGGTGAACGAACGGACAGGAGATCAGCTTAGTTACTTTCTCTTTATTTTCTCTTTACTTTAATACATTTTTTGTCTATTTTTGTCAATGTAGTTTTAATTTACTGTAGCGTATTTGTATTGTGAACGAACGGACAAGAGATCAGCTTAGTTACTTTCTCTTTATTTTCTCTTTTCTTTAATACATTTTTTGTCTATTTTTGTCTTTAAAAAATTTATCCAATCGATCCAGGGGGGGGGGCAAGTGCGCCCCCCTTGGCCCCCCCCCCTGCGGACGCCCATGGCCAGTGCCCTCTGATCGCATGCCATTAAGCCGGCACTGGGCACCCCTCATAAATGGATGTGAAAACTCTCTCAATGACTAAATATTAAGATACCCTATAACGCTAGAGACTTGTAAATATGCTACTGAATAGTGACTAAAATCCCCCTTTCCAATTAGATCTAACTCATAGCATGATACGCTAGCGTTCCCGAGAAATACGTTATTAAATGTATAACTAAGGCACACATTGTGGTATTTAAGTATTCCCCGCGATGGGAGAGGGACGCGTGTCGCACCGACTGCGGTGAAAGCGATACCTGGGGTCAACATTCCGATCCAGTGATCGCTAATTGTATACTGGTGCACACTGCTGATTCTACGTGAAACTTGACGCATTTCAGCATGCGTCATTAGGACTGTACCAGTGACAGGCGTTGGTCTTCGACGAACGCGTGCGTGGATCTATAGTGGACAAGATACGCTTCGCATGTCTTACGTTTGCGATATCATTGTAAACGCGTGCATTAAATGAGACCGTGAAAGGGACGAGTCATTAAATTAAAACTCAACTTGATTGCAAATGAGCATGCAAAGTTTAACATTCTAGAATGGAAAAACAAATATCGTCTACTCTCTACTACCACGAGGGGCTCTCGTTTTGATTTTGTGTTATGCCAATGCATTTAAACCTTTGTTTATTCGTGATCCATTTTTAATCTGCGGGCCTGTTTCCCTCTTTGAGTTGTACGGGCTGATCTGCGGGGCATAATTGGCGGGGATGTCTCTGCCACTGTTCTAGGTTGACTATACATCTAGGCACGACGTCGAGTTTAGTCCTGATTATTATCACTGGGTTCTCCTCGCCATTGTCACTGGACTCGATTGTTTCTGAGGGTGTCGCACTTGATGCTCATGGTACAAGGTCCAACAGCGGTGCTTCGGGTGCCAGAAGGTCCTTTCTATTGACTGTTTCCTCGGTCCCTCCCGCCAAAGGGAGAAGCCTATAACCATGCCATCGAAATGTGATCAAACGATGATTTGAAAGTTGTGACAAGGCTTCATACAAGGCTTCATTCACAAATTGCATCAAATGTTTGAAGGAAAATTTGACCGTGTGAACTGACGCTTTAACATGTCGGAG